TTCGATGTTCAACGTTAGTACAATGAAGAAAGACAATTCAGTGAAGAAAACTTTGCTTTCGATGATTTCGTTTACTTAAACTGTACATTCGTATTCATAATAAATTTGTTTGCTCGAAATATTAATACTACTTAATTCCCTTGTGCTTGTACGTTTGGAAACAAAACTTATATAATTGCTTGCAAATGACATGTACGTATATATATTTGTATGGTAATAAATGAAATATAGTAAAAGAGCTTAAGTCAGCCTTATCTATGTGATTAACTTTGAGACGAATTAAACTGGATTTATTCAATAGATTTAATTCATTGTTTGTAGTCTGGCTTGCTCTAAATAATAAGGTTTGGATCTAATAGTTAATATCTGTTGTTTGAGTTGATGAATAAAAGATTTAGATAATAAAATGAAAAAAATATTTTCATGATGCTGTATTCCATGAGATAAATGGTAGCCTCCACCGCCTGCTTGATGAAAAAGTGAACTTTTCAGTTATTTTGCAAGTATTAAACCAATACATGTTAATAGCCTTGTTTATGACGGGCTTTTCTTGTTTCTATTCATTTTTTACACTCCTGTTAACTGTCTTTTTTGGTGGATCTTTTCCATATGGGTTATTAAATTGGATTTATGTTGTTTGTTATATAGAAAGACAATGAAAGCTTCATAATTAAAACATCATTTATTGCAAAAAACAGAACATAATGCTATGAAAGGCATCCATCTGATGTATATATGTATATAGTGAGATTTTAATGATTATGTAGTGGTATAATTATCTGTTCTGTCTATAAACGTAACTAGTTTAGTGTCATCAAATAAACAAGAAGACTGGTCTTTTTTTAAACTCAAAGTGATGATAGTCTATTCATTATTATTATTATTATTACTTACTTACTTACGCCTGTTACCCCTCGTCGAGGAGCATAGGCCGCTCACCAGCATTCTCCATCAAACTCTGTCCTGAGCCTTCCTTTCCAGTTCTTTCCAGTTGCTATTCATCCTTTTCATATCTGCTTCTATTTCTCGGCGTAGTGTGTTCTTTGGCCTTCCTCTTTTCCGCTTGTAGAAATGCTGCCCTAGCTTTGCCAATCCTCGCCTTTACATCTGCATCAGATCCTCCTTGTTTATCAACGATGCTCCCCAGCTACGTGAATGTTTCCACCTCTTCCACAGTTTCGCCATCAAGTGTGATTGGGTTGGTGTTCTCCGTGTTGCATTTGAGAATGTTGCTTTTTCCTTTGTGAATGTGGACGCCTATCGATGCGGAGGCTGCTGCTACATTTGCGGTCTTCATCTGCATTTGTTCGTGTCTATGAGAGAGGAGGACTAGGTCATTTGCGAAGTCCAAATCCTCTAATTGATTCTGAGAAGTCTATTTTATTCCATATTTCCCGTCAGATGTCGAATTCTTCATAATTCAGTCAATCACTAGAAGGAAGAGGAATGGGGAGAGTAGACAGCTCTGTCTGACTCCGGTCCTTACTGGAATTGCATCTGTCAGCTGTCCTCCATGCATGACTTTGCACTGTAGTCCATCATATGAGTTTTGGATAATGTTGACAATCTATTCAGGAACTCCATAGTGTCGAAGAATTTTCCATAATAATCTCCTGTCCACGCTGTCAAACGCCTTCTCATAGTCAATGAAGTTGACGTATAGTGATGAGTTCCACTCAACTGATTGTTCAACGATGATCCGTAGTGTCGCGATCTGGTCTGTGTACGACCGATCCTTACGGAATCCAGCCTGTTGATCTCGAAGTTGGGCGTCTACTGCGTCTTTCATCCGATTCAGCAGCACTCTGTTGAAAACTTTTCCTGGTACTGATAACAAACTGATGCCTCTGTAGTTCTCACATTTGCTCAGATCTCCTTTCTTTGGTATCTTGATGAGATATCCTTCTTTCCAGTCCATTGGCACTTGTTCCTCTTCCCATATCTTCTTGAATAGAAGGTGAAGCATGTTTGTAGTTATTTCAATGTCTGACTTCAGTGCTTCTGCTGGTATATTGTCAGGTCCTGCCGCCTTCCCACTTTTGATTTTTCTGATGGACATCTTCACTTCTTCCATCGTTGGTGGAGTGACATCTATAGGAAGGTCAGTGTGTGCTGCTTCGATGTTCGGTGTATTCAATGGGGCTGGTCTATTCAGCAGTTCCTTGAAGTATTCTGCCCATCTTTTGCTCTGTTCTTGAATCTCAGTGATTGTCTTTTTTCCTTTGTCCTTGACTGGTCTCTCTGGTTTGCTATATCTCCCTGTCAATTTCTTCGTTGTATCATGTAGTTGTTTCATATTCCCTTCTCTTGCAGCTTTTTCCGCCGCCGTTGCTAGTTCTCCCATGTATTTCTGCTTGTCGGCTTTAATGCTTTTCTTCACTTCCCTGTCTGCTTCTGCGTAGTCTGCTTGTGCTTTGACTTTCTCTGCTCGTGTTCGGCTGTTGTTAATTGCTAGTTTCTTGTTCTTCCTTACTCGAATTTTGTCCAGGGTTCCCATGGAGATCCATTCCTTGTGATGGTGCTTCTTAGGACCAAGAACCTCCTGACACGTTGAAGTTAGTGCTTCGTTTATCCCTTTCCAGTTGTCCTCCAAAGTGGTTTCTTGTTCTTTCAGTAGATCCTGTAGAGCTTGGAACCTGTTGTTGAGAGTTATCTTGAATTCATTGAGCTTGTCAATATCTCGAAGGAAGGCTGTATTGAACCTTTGTAGTGCTGTTTGTCCAGTTGTCCAGTGTTTCTTAAGCTTCAGTCTCATCTTGGCCACAACCAGCCAGTGGTGATCTGAAGCTATGTCAGCTCCTCTCCGGGTTCTCACATCTTCCATTGATCTTCGGAATTTTTTGTTGATACAGATGTGATCTATCTGGTTCTCTGTTGTTTGGTCCGGTGAGATCCATGTAGCTTTGTGTATGTGCTTGTGTGGGAATATTGTGCTGCCTATAACCAATTTGTTGAATGCACATAGGTTTCAAGTTTCTCCCCATTTTCATTTATCTCTCCTAGTCCATGTCGTCCAATTTTATCTTCATCCGAGTTCTGCCAAGTTGTATCTCCTCATTTCCATTGTTACTTGACTGGTCTTTCCTGTCTCCCACATTGTCCGAATGTTCCATGTACCTATAAAGAGTGTTTCTCTGGTTGTTAGAAGGTGCATCGGTCTGGTGACTTTCGAAGAATTTCGGCTTTCATCATGAGACGTCATAATTATTCCTTGAACTCGGAGGGCAGAGTTTATATTGTTCGAATTATTTTTTCTGGTTAGCGTTCTTTTAGCGAGTTGATTTTCTACGGGATGGGGTCGCTAACCCCATGCCCAACCCTCCTCCTTTACCCGGGTTTGGGACCGGCAGTAATTCTAGAAGAGCTACAGGCGGAGTTATTATTATTGTTACGTCTGGCCGATTGTGAACGCTATATTCGCTTCCCTGAGCTAGTTTCGTAACCCCGAGCTAGAACTACTGCGCGATTTGAAGACCAGAGATAAGGCACAAAGTGTGTGGGAAGCACTTTACTACAGGATTCATTTATGTACAGAAAATGCAGGGATTTTATAGTAATTTAAGAATCCTTGAGTTGTACAGAAAGTTCTAGAATAGTAGCAGTATATTAATCAGCCGATCAGGATCTCCACATGTAACGTTTTCATTCTCGTTATTTTAGTAACATAACTTCACACAACTTCTAATTAACCGCTGATTGGTTGAAATGCTTCTTGATGACCCACGAGCTTGTCATGTCGCTTACGAGAAAAATGCAGGGTCATCTCAACAATTATTATTAATAACAATCAAATGATAGCATTATCAGTATCAGTAGTATCAGTTTTAAAAGCAGTAATTTTCTATTTTTTTATTTATTTTATTATTTATTTTTTTTATTTGCTAATAAATATGTTTACTTCTGATAACTTTACAACTAATATTGTTTATATGGTTGATACTGAAAAAAATGAATATGTTTTATTGATTTATTTGAACAACTAGAAAGTAGTCTTTTTAATAAAAACTATCTCTTCTTCGGCTTCACAACCATAATGAATCTATAAAATTATTTTAATAAGAACGAATTAGCTAATCGTTTGTTTCAAGTAAAGGGGCTGTTTCCAGAAAGTCATCGATGGGGAAGTTGAAGAGGAATGGTGAGATTGGGCAACCCTGCCTAACCCCATTGCTTGAATGGAATAAGGGAGAAAGGTGGTTGTATGCCTTCATTCTGCCTGAGGTGTTTGTATACAGAGCACACCCTTCTTCAAAAGACAATCCCAGAGAACAGTCCTGTCCAACGAATCGAAGGCAGCCCTGATATCAAGAAACACTACGATTGTTGGACTGCGATAAGTATGACGGTGTTCTAACATTTGGCAGAGGGTGAAGATATGATCAATGCATCCTCGACTAGAACGAAAACCAGCCTGCTCCTCTCGAGTCAATCGTTCTCGGGTTTTAAACAACCTACGAAGAATGATAGAAGCCAATAGTTTGGACGCAATCGGAGGTAGACTTATCCTCCGGTAGTTGTAACAGGAAAAACAAAATCCACTATAACAGGGGATTCGTTCCTGTAGTGTATGTCATTGATGTCGACAGATAAAAATAGTATGTATCATCAATCGAAAGTGAAATGCCTGGAAGGCAGAAGGTTAAAAAGATCGAAGGAAAGAGAACTAGAACAGGGAATGATTGATTTGAAAACAAAGGAACAGTCAAGTCTGAGACAATCGATTGATATTTTCAGATTTTTCTAAGACATTCTGTAATTTTGTACTCAAATACATTTGGTTGTCCCCACTGGTGTTCTCGTTCATTGCAACTACTAGTATTACATGTTCATTTTTAAGCTATTAATGAATTCTTGTGATAAGTAATGAGTTGCATTTGAAAGTTTTTGGTATGTTTAAATATCTTTTTGATTAAATTCATCTTAAACATATAACAATGATTTCGTATTTTGAGATGAAAAAGGTTTATGAAAATTATTCATGATGAATTTCTTACCTTAAGTTAAAACAGGTTACAGTTTAGTCGCAGCCAACGTTCAGCATGAAATGGCACCCGATTTAATAGGACCGCAGATTTATGCGTTTGGTCCTAAAGATCAATTGAGTGATGCATTCAAAAAGTCTGAGAAGTTGCAACAATACGGTTGCTATTATCATAACGACATTACATCGAAAAGAAAATTAGCTGAACAGAAAAATCAGTTTTTTGATGGTTGGCGATCAAACTCTAATTCCAAATTATGGTTTGGTGAAAATGTACAGTTTCTTTCAATTAACAGTGTAAATTCCAAATATTTCTACATTATATTTACTGAACAAGATATAAGTGCACCGTATACTGCTTATGAAGGATCAGTAAGTCAAAGTTTTTATTATCAATAATTGTTATTCTTAAACCTTCTACACCATGATTTTACAGTTTTTAAAAGTTAAGGGTTCTTGCGCGATTATAAAGGTGCTGGGTTATATTTCCACGTGCAAGGTTGTGGATGCGCACTGCTAAGGATTTACATACTAAGACGAAACGACCATCCATTGCTCTCAGGTGTTTACTGATGGTCGAACCTAAATGAGTTCATGATTTCGATCAAGAAAGCAACAATATTCACAACCCTTTACTGATAACTAAATTATGTATGTCACATTATCACAGTTACTTCGTTTTTGATAACAAAAACAACACTAAATGAAATTCACTACCATTTTATAAGTAATATATTGCAACCAAAAAACGATTTCCATTTTCAACTGTATGATTAATACAATGTTCGTTTTTGATTGTGTTTTATCATGAATGATATTCTGTAAGCGTAAAACAAACACAAATTTTTTATCATAAATTGTAGTAAAATTACCTTCGTTTGTACTTATCTTTTTTTAAAATGCGGTTCTATTTAGGCATGGCGATTCAAAATATGATGTTCCCCTATCGAGTGACAAAATTAGTGATAAAAAAAGTACAACAATTATACTTTCGATAAAAAAAGGAACTTTAAAATTTACTCTTGAGTAAAATAACTGGGTATTGTTTTATCAAAATGGGATTCCGTTTTCTATAGTTAAGCATAAAATTACCTAATGAATACATTATTTCGAAGGAGATCACGAATGTCTATAGGTGTGGAAATGATTTATAGGTGGTTTTGATAACTTAATTTGGATGTTTTTCTGCATTCGACCTGATGTTTCGCACCGATCACTACAGAGTCTCTTCTATCAACTAGTTACCATTTGTCAAGGCATCTTTTATAACTCGGTTTTGTTTCGTGTTTGTATTATTTACTACTTGTAAACCATTCAGACATCAATTTTCTAAAAAACATTCGTATTAAACCACTTTAAAGTCACTACTCATTTCCTTTGATATTTTCGAATTTGAGAATAGTTATTAAAAATGCCAATTATGTAATCGAGTCTTCAAATCGTTCATATGTTCACTAGATAATTCATCATTCATACAGTCATAAGAAATACATAAATATTTCGTCCACTATGTTTAGAAACAGCAAATACAACAAGTAACAATTTTTTTCCATCTATATCAAGGTGTCATTTTAATTCGATTTCTCAAAGAACGCAATCGTCCTTTTCACCACATTATGTCGTCATTTGATTAAAAAGGAATGTTACTGTAGTGAAATTATTCATGGTTGAGATGTTTGTTCAGGCTCTATGAATGTTAACATCTCTCGTGCATAACTATGCCTTTTTCACATTTATAAAAGTGATTTGATATTTCCATACTGCTTCAGATTATAGTAATAATCAAAGAGAAAATTTCACTATGTTTATGGTTCATTTACAAGTAACTTAGTTAAGATACTTTTATATTCTTGTTTACACATCATTGAAAAGGGATTCAGTTTTTTTTAAAAATTATCTTTGATAAATTCTATTATAACGACTTTGACTAACTTTAGTTAAGATATCCATTGAAAAAAAAAGGAAATTCTTAACTGAAGTCAGGTCGTATTGTTAACTCCATTTTCTCCGTTTTCCACAAATTCCTTATTTTAGCAATAAACGAATGAATTTCAGAGTGTAGTTGTGAAGATTGTTAAGTCTTTGATTGAGATTATTAGTCGATTGATGTTAGACCACCATGGAAAACCTGAAAGCACTGGACAGCCGTCTCGTCCTAGTATGGGACTCCTCAACAGTGAGCATTCACAATCTCATACACGGGATTCGGTCTTGCGTGCAAATGCTAAACCTCTAGACCACTGAGACGGCCGGCACCAACTGTGTTAATGTCTAACTTCAACCAATCCACGAAATTGCGCGATCATTTTCCATTGTTTGAGGTAGGTATCTCTCTCTATCTGACATGGATTAGCTCCACTGGTCCACTGGTTAAGCATTTACGCTCGAGACCGAAATACACGGGTCCGAATCTTGTATGCTGGATCGTAGATGTGCACTTCTGAGGAGTCCCATACTAGGACGAATAAATTTCAGTTTACTGACAAACAATCAAAATTTTTAGATGCCAACATTTTCGGGTGCCGCTAGGTTTTATCTTTTGAAAATTTTCTTTCCAGTAAGCTAATGATTACCTATTTATATGATAAATGGTGTTGACATTATCCACTGTGCGATTTAGTACTGTCCTATTTTTCATTGTACGTCATATTTTATGAAGTAAACAGGAGTAACATGTGAAATGAAATTTGTAGCTCAGGTGATCGATTTTTACGGCACTGAGTTTCCTCAGCTAGATGGTTTAGTAACGTAGTTTTTATTGCCCCTCCGGACAGCACTTTCAGAGCTTACTCCCTAGACAATTGAGATTTTTAGTTATTTTACAATTTGTCCATTCAAATGATCTAGTTTATGGTTGGCTGTTTTTGTAGGTTTTGTAGTTTCCATTTGCCTTAGCATTCACATTGACAGTCTTTGTTATTTGAAATCTATCCCTGTGATTAATTGAATTCTTCCATAGAGGTTCAAAAGTTGCATCTATGATGGTGTCGTTGATGACTGTTCATTTGTACGATAGACAACTAGAAATTTGGTAATATTGTTCATGATTTGCACTTACATGAACATATATATATATAAGTTTACATAAACTCACAGTCCCACATTTGTTCAGTATATGGTCATATAAATCATTTTATCTAGATTACTATTGATAGATCAGCATGCTTTTCATTTTTGAGTGTAATTTGCCATAATTAATTCACATGACTGACATAAATTGGCTCTAAGTACTTGGCTGATGTGTTTCCTATCAACTAAAAACTTTTGTAGATGTGTAGAATTAGCTATTCAGCGGTACACATCAAGAAGAGATTTGTGATACCATTTAAATTAATAACAACATCAAAAATATTATCGAACGTGATGTCATTGTTCTAGTTTCAAATAAACCAATGAAAATTGAAAATTTTATGTTTCATTGGCTTGTGGTATATTTACTTTTTGAGCTATAAATTTTATACTTATTTCCCTTTAGTTTACCAAACATATATACTCTAAGAATGTTACAATCGATGAGTAAGTGTCAACTCTTTATTTTTTGTGAATGTTATCTGTGACCAAGGGGTTCATTAAAGGGTGATACAGTCGTCGTTAGAAACACACGCTGATAGACGCATTACATCACAGATTATTGACGTTGGTGTACTGTGTACGTCAACTCAGTTGCCTAGTGATAAACCGCCTATCGCAAGATCTTGAAGTACTAAGTTTGGCCTGCAGCTAAATCGAACACTAGAACGAAACAACTGTTTAGTGCTCCTTGGTTTTCCTTAGTATCCCAAGTTAAACTAATACGAAATGAATTCTTCGTACAAATCGAACGAACCATCAGAACACTTCAACACTAACACTGTTTTTATTAGTATTTTCTTAAAGAAATCCAGTATTTAAAAGAATATTACTGGATAATAAAAGCAGTGGACCAATTTATTGATACTATATGATGGACAATTTTAATTTGTAAATAAGATAGAGAAGGAACTCTAAAATATCGTGTTGGTTTTCACTTGTTGAAATGATCAAAAATCAATAAAATATCGACTTTATATTCTATTTTTTGTTCTACTCAAAATGTCACAAAAAAGTATAGCTAATAATTTTTTTTTCATTTGATAAAATTCCCTATTCACGCTGTAATTACATCACATTAAAGTTGTAACGAAAAAAATTAGTACATTTTGACACATATGATCCTATTTTAGGCAAGTCGATCTAATTCATTGATTATAGACTCAATAATTTTGACCGTTTTCTTTTTAAACGCGTTTTGATTATTGAATTTTAAATGAAAGTAGTAGACAAGAACTTTTATTTTCATTTCTTCCCTCAATGATAATATACTATTTAAATATGACACTATCAGTAGTCTTGATGATGTTATATGTTGTCAAATAATTAATTCAATAAAGACATCTTTAAAAATTCTTTTGCCTGTTTCTGAAAAAAAAGAACCGTTTTGCACCAGGATTTCTGATCAACTCTGATTGTTTAGTTAATCAGAACTTGACGATGATAATTTTACCCAAGTAAGTGATCTGCGTAATAGACCAGTTATGATTTGCATCGGTCAATTATAATACATTCTTAATACAATACGAAGTGACATGATTTGAATATTTGGCAAGAGTATCAATAGTTTCATAATTGCAGATACACCATATTGAAAATGATTCTAATATGTTTTGACATATATTACTTATAACATGAACTATTCGTTATGGTTACTTTATGAACTCATTTCAGTCATATTAAATACCTCAGGTACAAATCAGAATAAAGATTTCAGATTTCTTATTTATAAATATATTTCTACACCAAGCAGTATAAAATAATTAATATGGTGATAGTGTCAGGTGGAACACCTTTGTTAACTAAAAAGTGTCCTACACTTAATATTGCGTCTGTAAATTCAGATCTGTTCTTTATGTAGTTGTATATGTGATAACTTAAAAAATGAATATATGAGAGTATGAAATATAATTTAAGTATCAATATTGATTATCCATCAATTACTGTGGAATGAACTACTGAGTAGGATATGTTGTCCTCGATAGTCAGCAAAGTTAGCAAAAAGTGAATAGACTATTTAGGTTGCTTTAAGATTTAGTTACTCACCCACCCATTTAGGTTTCTGGATGCAGCAAAGGTAGTAAAGTAGTCAACAAGTAGAATTACTATGTTCGGATTTATGACAAAAATGTTGAAGTTAATCAGTTATAGAACCTTTTCAACATTGAGAAGAGAAAAACTCGCCTAAAAACATTTTAATTTTCTGGATGAAATGCTTAATGGATTGTATATTGAAACAGTCATCACAATTATGAACCGCACATTCGTTATACTACAAACCAATGAGAAAGAGACAACAAAGATGACATTTCTGGATGTATATTTATGATTAACATTAGAGAAATGATCGAGTTGTAAAAAAATATCAATTATTTTATTTAGTTAAAATAATCAGTTACCAGGTGTTGCCAGGTAATTTGGAGTGAAGTAATAATCATTCCTAGATGTGATAAAACTTTTGTTCTTTTGTTTACTATAGAATAGATAAAAAAGTGTATTTTATTCATATCAGTTCGAATCGTTTTAGTTTCGAGTAGAATGACTACTCTACAGCTCAATAATAACTCTAATTTATAAAGATCAACATTTTTATTCATAGATGGAACAAAATGTATGCTTTACTTTTTTATGTTTTAGCTCTAACTATATAGTATGGAATAATGAGATAAGTTTTTATTATGCATTATAACAGTAATAAAAAGCGATAGTTAATAACAGAATAAAACGACTCAAACTGCCAATATATTTTCATTTTCATCTCATTTCAAATCCATCTAAAAATATCTTAATAAAAGCAAAGATGGATGGTGACTAGTAGTGCAATCCAGGACGCGCGTTTCGTTCTATTTGCGACTCGTCAGCTGGATGTACCTGCATCTCAGAGTTGATATTCACTCTAGGACTCGAACTCAGTACCTTTAGCTTCAAACACCATCGCGTTATCTACTCAGCTACTGAGTCCTGACAGTCACTTGCTTGTGCAATGGGATAAGTCTAAATTCACTTTGTATTGTTTGTTTGAATCTTCCCATTGATGTTTGGAATTGCAATCGATCAGTCTCCTATCGGCATATGTGCATACTGCTAGCCACTATCCATCTTTGCCTATAATACTTGTGAATTAAGGCAATATCGAGGCAATACGCACAGTATGCACATATGCCAATAAGAGACTGACCAGTTGCAGTCCTAAACATCAATGAGAAAATTCAAACAAACAATACTAAGTGAATTTAATATCTTAATATATTTTCGTATTTATTAAAAGGAAACCAATAAAATATTAGTAAAGTCAACATTAATTTTAAAAAAATAGATATACAGTTTCAAATCAACATAAAAGTAGAGATAATGTATCTTCATTTTTAAACAAACCGCTTCTCATTTTAATTGATCAGTTTAAACAAAATCATGCAAATAAAAACCATTGCTATTGTCATCATATGAAAAAAGCTTAAACTAGAAATGGATAGTTAAATTTTTTTGGAAATACAATATTAATTGCTTCATATACTACTTAATACCACTATTATTACTATTAGTATCCTAATAGCTATTTAATATTGATCATTTTTCTATAGTGATTAGAAAAAAAAATGGTTGAACAATGTAAAAACGTCAGCATCTGTAGACTATACAGTGAATTTTATTCATTTTACTACTCAATTAATCAGTTTAATTTTATCTTCAGAAAATAATTAACTGTTCTTTGATGAATAATTTACTTTTCTAGTTGTATCAATATTGTTAAACTAACTCAACTTATTTGTTTGAGTGTAACTTACAGTAGGAATTGACGAGCAAAGTTATTAGTTCTTCACGTTATCTACACAACTATTGGTTTAGGATATGTTGGCAGTTGACTAGCTTGGGTCCAGACAATAAGCATAATTAGTGGTCGACAATTTTGGGTAACATGGCTTAGAATCTATTACAGTGGCGTAGATATGTTCAATCTTTGTCTTTCTTCAGATCCAGAGTTCCAGTTTACATCTGCACGTAACTTTTCATTTAGCTTTCTTAAACCATATGCTCAATATTTAGACCTTCTTATCATTATTAATAATACTACTATTTTGGCTTCTTCACCGCTCATCTTATTAATTACATCTCAACATGTTGGTCTAACATGATATTTTGGGCTTGACCAAGTTTATGTTGATTTCTACGTTGATAATGACTGACTGATTATTCATGACCATCGGCCATGTTTGTTTTGTTTAAACTTGTGAAGTTAACTTATTTTATATGATAAATACTATTATTGGAATTATTTTATACTTATCTATCACCAATTTTTTCTTATCTTTCATGATGTCATTGCTTTAAATTGTATGCGTTTGTTTATTCTTAATTTTTATTTGATAACATGTCGTAATGAGAGAACAATTAGAAAATTCTCATCAAGGCTTGAAATGAACTATCAATTATGATATGATTCTCATTAAAGGTTCATTAATAGACTACTAATTGTCCTGACGACATTTGACAATAAAATAAGGGAATCCACACGATACCAAGATGTATACAGTACATAATTGTTCTTGACGCATATTGAAATATCAGATAAGCTCTTATCAATGGATAGAACTCATTATTAAGTGTGACTGAAACAAAATTGTCATTTGTATCAAAGGACGACTTAGTCGAGATAACATGATTAATGTTGTCTTACTAAATAGCAAATATTATATCGAGTGTGTATAGGAAAATCATGATGAATGTTTAACATTCCATGTTATTGATATCCCATTTATAACTGTAATTAGCCAACAGTCATCGAATATTGGTTTCTTACTACTTTCTTTAATACTTTAATACTTCATATTAACTTACAGTCACACTGAAGTATACATAATGCGTCATAATTAAATTTAACTGAAAGATAATAATGTAATTCTTCAAGTAACAAAGTCTCACTTAACGAACAAAATTAAATTGAATAAAGCCATTAATAATAATAATAATAATAAATAATAGAACTCCGCCTGTAGCTCTTCTAGAGTTATTGCCGGTCCCAAGCCCTGGTAAAGGAGGAGGGTTGAGCATGGGGTTAGCAACCCCATCCCGTAGAAAAACTCTATAAAAAACGCTAACCAGATTAATAATAGAAAATATATAGATGACATAATATCTGAACACTCTTTGGAAATATATTGATATTTCCGATTGTATTATAGTTTTATCATTTTAAATACGTTTCGTTTACAAAACACCTTTTCATACATATATTCCTTAAAATTTACTGCTCTGAACTCATTCCTTATTATTTAAGTGCAATTATTTAACTATTTCTGGATAATTACATTTACCTTTGAGCCTCACATTGGTATGATATTTACAATCAGACTATCTGAACTAAAATGGGAGGAAGGAAGTTAGGTTATCCTATCAGTACTTAAAGTTAAGAGCGTTGGCTATCGAAACCACTGTCTTATCGAAGGATCATCCACATAGCGTTTATGATAATTTTCTGATAAACGACGTTAATTTTTCAAACTATGTGTACGCAACTTTATTTATTTATACGTAAAAATCAGCTTTATGATTGACCATAATACAGGATAATGTAAAATTCAATTCAATAATGTTTTCTGAAAATAATATTTCTGAACAGTCTCTGTGTTGTTTACTAATTTTCTTTAATTAACAAAGCTTTCTAATATTGGAAGTACAATAACAAGAATTGGTCGAGTATGTCAACATGATCCAGGTTCAAAATTATCGGCATCAATTTTACCAAATGGTGGTGGAGTATTTACAACTTTTCGAAAAACTCAACTTGTTTGTCGTGCATATTCATCTGAGTCTGCTCATCATGAAGAAACAAATCATTATCAGAGTTATGATAAATTTAATGGACAGGGAAATACTAAGAATGGATATTTCAATGAACAGAAAATAACAAATGAAAAACGTTACTTAGAATTCAATCGAGCAATTGCTGTTAGTGAGATTGTTCCAACAGGTAAGCGGATAGTGACCAATTATCATCATTCTAGATGTTTTCCATATCCTTATTTTCAATCTGTACTTGCAAATAAAGCTTATTTACAAAAGTGGTGATCAATGCCGTATTTAATTGGTCCCTTATTTCTAACCGAATTCTCCCTATTAGGTTGGAATTTGATTACTTGTTTAAGTGACTTGATGTCGCATGTGTTATGATGAGATGTTTGCTGGAAGTAGTAATTGTTATGAAATCACGGGCTCATTTTTCTTGCTGGCTGTTACTCTTCAGCCATATAACATCAAAAGATAGTGCACGTGATGTTAAATTATTCAAATGATAGCTCGATCGATAGAATTCGATCAGAATCAAAGAACTAGATAGCTATGACACTGCTTATCACTCATTGATCAGTTTTTTGTCAATACCTCAGCCTTGTGGGATGTAAGTTGTCCACGAATATTGTCTTTGACTTTGAAGCTGGTCGAAGTTACTTCGAATCCTACATGGAGCATCAGTTCCTTTAAGAATGCAGATACGCTTTTCAAGAAAGTTTTATCCATCACGAATCCTAGGGTATATAGTGTTTCTTTCAGACTACTTTAGACCACCGTCAAAAATGTTTACGTTTTTCAGCTTGCAACACTGAAGATAGAAATATTATTGGAATCATAATAAATTTACGTGCTAATAATGATGATATTACTTTTTGATTTGAAGTATCAAACCTTGAAAAATTATAAAGTATTTTTACTCACAAAGTTTGACGATCTGATTCGTAAGATTGTTATAAATCAAAAATCATTTTAATGGTGAGATATAAATTTTATCATTAAGTATGAATGGTTTGACTCTCTTTAAAATTACTAACATCTTTCAATAATATCATATAAACTCTGATAACTTGGTAACCGATAATATTTTGATGTGTACATTAAGAGCTTAGTGTTATTATTTGAAATCTTATTATCTATAAACCAGACGAGAGAATAGTATTGTATTAATTTTTAAATAAATGAACTTACTAGTTGTTTAAACTAGAATAATATTCTTTCTCTTCTTTAAAATAGTTTTTTTCTTGCTTCATTCTTTACTCAATACACGATTTCTTGCTAAACATTTGATAGCCCAGTTAGAATTTAGTAGCTGTAAATAACCTTTGATCAAATACTAAGTAATGTTTGGTTACTTTTCTCATTGACATAGGTAAGTTAACTAAAGACTATAATTTAGATATCCTATCATGAAGGTTAGGAAGTATTTATCATTCCAAACATTTTGATTCGGGATGAAAAACTTATAGTATCTCGTTAATTTTTAAAGCTGGTATTGCCATTTTCCAAGAAAAAAAACATTTTCTCAATTTAAATAAATAAAAAAAGACCAGTTTCGAGATGACAAAACATTTTATTTACTTGTTGGTAGCTAAGATAATCATCGTTTGGATAATAAAATTTATTGGGTTTGATAAATTTTAAATGATTGTAAATTGAAAAAAAATTATCGGATGCCTAAGATCACTATGATTAGGGAGAGAAAATAATGATAAACTTAATTGCAAAGTAGGAAATACATAACTAATATATATATATATATATATATATATATATTCAAGATATCATCTCGAAAATTTGGTATCAGTGGATAGCATCAACATCAAATGTGGTGAGTAAAATAATGTCTACTTATGGAAGTACAAGCCATAAATGTTGCTGAAAGTCCTATATTTCAATATCATCCATTTCAAATAAAGGAAATATTTTAATTATTTATATATCCTAAAACAGTCTAAAAAGTAATAAGTATTGTTTGTTTGAATCTTCCTATTGATGTTTAGGAATGCAACTGGTCAGTCTCTTATTGGCATACGTGCATACTGTGCGTATTACCTCAATACAGCATTATTTCACTAGCATTGTAAGCAAAGATGGAATTTAAAACTTCACCACACTGCAGAAGCAAGTAGCTATCAGGACTCAGTAGCTGAGTAAATAACGCGATGGCGTTTGATGCGAAAGGTAATGGGTCCGAGTCCCAGAGTGAACATCAACTCTGAGATGCAGGTACATCCAGCTGACGAGTCCCAAATAGGACGAAACGCGCGCCCTGGATTCCGGTGATAGCCACTATCCATCTTTGCTTACAATCTAAAAAGTATATAGAGATATTCAGATCGTATAATTCATTTAAACGTTGTGGTTTATTCCAGAGGTAAGTTGATTTTTATTGGCTATTCATTAACAGATTTTGCATTATTAAAACCAATTTTTATTTACCAATTAAATGATATTTCTCACAGTATATACTGAAAAATATACAAATCTATCGAAAAATGACCTAATTGAGAAGCTGGGTCCCCGGACTCCACTAAGAAGTACATTCATGTATTGCTTAAAATGTTAATTGTTTAAAGACCAACACGGATTGTATAAAACATGAAACAATGTACAAGATAAACTTATAAAATAATTTAACAAGAAACTAGCTGAAAAATATACAAATAAGATGGTTAATGTTAAAACCAATGAAACAGAATTATTATTCTCCATCATCATGGTAATACTGTAATCGACGAATGACTATTTTCAATCTTTTCTTCTAATTAAACAATAAAACAAATAAACAAAGATTATCAGAACTATTTGATATATTAACGCTACACATTTCAAACAATCTGATCACACATATACTTGTTAAGAACATAAGGTGCATAAGGTTTGTTCTCACCTTAAACTTACCCTGGTAACATTAGCTTATTATTCAGAGTGATGAGGTTTCAAATTGTTTTCACATTATTATTTTTATTATCCTTGTCTCCTCTCACCCCCCCTTTCCAGTCTAGTTGACCTTTTATTTTTTTATTTATAAATGTTCTTAACAAGTATATGTGTGATCAGAATGTTCAAAATGTATTGCGTTAATACATCACATAGTTCTGATAATCTTCGTCTTCTTATTACACTATCGAAATTTATCAAACAGACTAATTACTTTAAATAAAACAAAAATAAACTTAAGTATTTTTCAGTTACCTAATTTCAATAATCTATTAGCTATGGAGGTCAATAAATATCTGCTCTTCAACTTTGTTGACCTGTACTTCTAATGTTCAATTTTCTGTTATAGTTGACATTTTTTCCTTGTAATCCTGTCCAGCGAATTAATTTGTTTTCTTGTTACGCGGAATAAAGTGGGCTAACTTGGACAGATAAATATTTTGTCGGATCACGATTGTTCTATAAGTTAGTAAGTGACAGAAAATTGTAATAGTATTCTGAAATGTTCACTATATAAAAAAATGTGTATTTCATAGTTTTCATGACGGACTGACTTTAGAAAGACACTGATTTAGAAACAGAATACATTTAATAGCTGTTTTACCATAGTATTAGATTTCTTAGCAGTGCACATCCATGATTTTACTAGTAATTGAACCTACCACCTTTAATTCTTTTTATGAGCGTTTGACATGTAGACCACTTAGGTTGCAGCCAATCTATTTATTATATGCCCAACTTCATTTAACTCGCGATGGTTCACGACCAGTTTCCACTTTCATTCGCGGATGACTTTCACGCAAAAGTCATGGTTTTACTCAACTGATCATGGCTTTTCACTAAAGCTCCTAAAATTGTGTCTTGAAATTAGTCACTAGTGAGTTCATAAATATTTCTGTGAGTTTTTTTTAGACTACTGAAGAATCCCAATGCTTAAATTAAAACATCTATCCAGTACTTCTCAGTTTTCAACAACCTTTGCAAACTTTTAAAAAAAAATAGTTTGTTTTCTTATCAACCAATCGATCACTTAATGATAAATAGTTATGTTAATTAAATGTTATCTTATTCTTTCTCATCCTTTTTTTATTCTTATTGAAACATCATAAAAGGTGATATGACTGATCATGTTTTCTATGCTCTTATGACTACAATTGATTCGATCTCTGGTCTATACGCATTATGTGCATTCAATTTGAATAGTGTAGACCAAAATTTAAACACTGATCATTTAATCAAAATGAAACAATCAAATAATGCATACAGTGGTTTATCTCGTATGGTATGGAGAGATAATAATAATAATAATGAAACAAATTCATCATCAACCCATTATAGTTATTATAAACATACATCAAAATGGACTGTGGATGTTGTTTCACCGTCACAAATGACAAAAGAAATAATGAGAACTTCTAAAGTGAGTTTTAATAAAACTAAATTTAATTATAATTAATCTTGTGTTTAATAATAGGAAGTAATGATGATGTTAATGTCATCAAATTATATATCAGATAGATAGCTGAACAGATTAAATTATACTACTTTTAATTATTCTTAGTAGTATGCAGATTAATGAGTAGAATACAAGATAAATAGAAAAATGATTATTAGAATGTAGTGAAAGTAACCGCGTTATACTGTTTCTTACCAAATAACTGGTTCATGTTGAAAATCAATGTCAATTACATTAGTCTGGAATACAAATATTCGACAGACAATGTAGATGCTTATTGGAATAATCGCATTTCTTTGAAATCTTGCTATAAAACTTTATGCTGGTTACTTATAATTCAGCTTACAAATTATTCATCGTTATTAGTTAGTATAAATAAGGAAAGATGAATCAAGTTTATCGTTAACATTGACTGATCAACTTATGGAAAGGAATAAACTTTAACACACGATGCTTTTTATTAAAACTTACCTAATAATCAATAAGATGGTTCTTGATAGTTTCTATTTTCATAACATGACAACAAAAGTCATCACGATTCATTACTGCGTAAGCAGTTGCTTAATTTGCGAATTATATTTGTGTTCTTTTTCAAAATATTATGAAGAATAGTAACTAACAGCTTCTTAATGATAAATGTTGCTTACTTCGGAGTAATTCATTTGATTAACAGAAGAGCATTCACAGGATGTGATTAAAATCCATGAGTGTTAATCTATCTAAACGTTTTTTTCTCTTCAAAGTTTATGTGTACTTTTAGAAGTTTCTAGATAAAATCAAATAACTCCACTTCAATTTTATCTTCATACTGGCTATCTAGAATGGACAAATATTATATCGGCCGAAAAATTTGCCACAGTGCCCCCACATGCCATGGTACGGCAGAGGATGGGGAGAGTCCGCTCTCCCTCTCGAAATGCTTTCACATGGCCACACGTAAATAGCCTCTGCCAAGGAAGTCCTACTCGCCGCCTCCTCATGGAAGGGGTGAGAGACTGACCAGTTGCAGTCGTAAACATCAATGGGAAGATTCAAACAAACAATACTAAGTTAATTTCATCTTTTAATTTGATTTTGCCATCTACATTTTTCTTCAACTTTATTTATGACCAAAATTTAGTTTGCTTCAAAACATCGTACTACATAATTTAATCATTAATAAAGTTAAATGGTAATTATTGATAGAATCCACTAGTCACATTTTGTTCTACTTGAGACTCGTCAACTGAATCTACTTGCATCTTATTGTCAGTACTTTCACTGGGACCGCAACACTGTATCTTTCGCTTAAAAATGTTAACGCATTATCCTCCGAGCTATCTGGTTTAGATATCTGATAGCTTGTGTGACGAGTAAAAATTTTATTCGCAATAAAAGCTTGTGAATAAACAATATTTGAAGTGAAAGGTACTGATTTAAAGTTGAGATATGAATACCAACAATGGGATGAAGGGATATCTAGCTAAAATATCTCAAATGAAACGGAATCCACTTCGTAGATCTTATAACTGCTGACTGTCCACCCTTAAAAAACAATTCATGACCAAAATCAAGGCAATTAGCTTAGTACTAACTGATCTTAATGATAACTGACTTATTGCATCTACTGACATCAACAACGGTAATGTCAAAAAACAAAAAATAAAGACAAGTTTAATAATTAAATAGACATTAGAATGTTTTTACTGATCATACTAAACTTATGATATACATATTCTATGATAAAAGAATCCATTCTCTGAGATTTTTTTTTCTTAAAAACTTATTTTTGATCAGACATGTCCATCAAAGTCACTACCAGATTATTATTCACAATTTGCTACATTACATCCATTAGTTGGTACAAGTGTATGGGCTTTAAATATGATAAATGCCTTAGATAATCAAACAAGCACAACAAATAAACATATTACTTTAATGAAACAACCTGGTAAAGCATTGAAAGTATTTACAATGAATGATTTAAATAATGAAACAATAATATCTAAAGAAACACCAATTGATTTCACAGTACATTGGGCTAATTCAATTCAAGATAATAATGAAACTGATATTATTTATATTGTTACAAGTAAGTTCTACATAATTTTTTTCTATAGTTAAGTGTTTCTGATTTAAGTAGTGATGATTTTGTTTACTGTTGACAGTGGAAGCTTTCTACATCTGAAATAGTCCAATCTTGAGATGAAATTATAATTTTATTATATGTTATAGACAAGTATAATGTTGTTCCACTTTTATAGAACAATGTTCGAGTACAGTGATGAACAACTAAATAATAAAGCCTATATGCTATGCAGGGTCAGAAAGTTGATAGAATGTTAAAATAAATGAAACTATTGGCTTGATAATTTTCCTAGAAAGTATATCCAAAAAAATTTAATTGAACCAGTTTTATAACACGGGATCATTAGAGATTTAGTTGAATTATAGGAATAAACGACGAGTATTCATTACAATGGTAACAGAAAATAAATAATCGTGGCACTTTCATAAAATCTATTAGCTTCTACTTTCAAAAGACTATCGATATTGAGAATATTCCGCTAAGAATGTAGTAAAATTTTAATAGGAATTGTAGCTTTTCTTTCCAAGCGTTTGTATTGCACATAAAGTACATCTTTTGTTTGTGTCAGGAATAAAATGGTTAAGATAAAAGTTGACTTCAAAAACAGGTTCCTTTTGAGGGAATTTGAAAGTTTGCAAACAATTTTAAATCATTCACAATGTCTGATAGCGAAAGTGACGTTTTTCAATGTGTTGTATGGGGTTTTGATGGGATTTAAAGTAGTGAGATCTTTACAATACTCTTTACAAGGTGCAATTTAGTTAGTATCACTTCTAGAATTACATACAAAGCCTAAAAGACGCCATATTAATCATGACCGATTGGTCCCTATGATGAAATTTTATCAAATAGGTGTTACTTAAATAACCACTTATCTGCACATCATTTAGTCATATTAGAATGATTATAAATTACTTATCAGTTAACATAGAATGAGTCAAGCCTTCGGATGAGGATCACCAAGTAATCAATAATCATTCCTATGTAATCTTTCAATTTTATCATGAATATTCTGTGAAGATTTTACAACGTATCCAATGTATGATTATTTCATGCTTAAAGTTTGTCCGATGACAACGTAGTAAAATTGCATACATTTACGCAAAGTGCCCTTCAATAACTAAATTATGTACTAATTTAATTTGAACTGTACTGGATGATCCCATTAATAACAACGATTCATCAACTTTTTGCCAAAAATATAAACATTGAGATAGTCAGAACTATTTCAAATTGAATCAAGTATTGTACCCGTTGCACAAGTGAGTGTATATATTGATTCAGTAGCTAGGTAGATAACCATGGCGTTTGAAACGAACAATACGGGGTTCGAATCTCAAACTGAACATAAACTCTATAATAGAGCTACATCAATCTGACGAGTCTCGAATAGGACCGAAAGCACGTCTTGGATTCTACTTCTAGCCCCGTTCTATCCATTTTGTACTAAATTATGCATTTTGTATGAATGTATCAATCCACTAAAGATATGCTTTAATATAATTTACGAGAAAATATTCCGGTTGAACTATTTTAGTTTTACTAAGATAAGTTGACACTAGGTTGACACTAAGAATGAATTATTTTACACTGCATATACTTAGAACTGGTATAAATGTTCTTTAAAAATCGGCTCTAAGAAACGGAAAAATAGGATAAAACCAAAATATGTAAGGACTACAATATTTAGATTGATATTACATAGAATAGTATGAAGAATGTATATACTTATATCATTACGGTTAGTTGAAGTCTTTAATTAATGATTTAATAGGTTTTTAAGTGAAAATAAATTACATTACTAGTAAGGGCTTGAAACGTATATCATTAGGCATCAAAACTTTACAGAAAGAATTGATTTATCGTAAAAACCAAAATCCATAGATGTAGACGACGACTATCTTTTTTTCTTAGCTGAAAGTTTTCTTTGAAACTATTCCCATCAGCTGTAAAAATCAGAAAGAACTTGGCAGCCATTTCATTCCAGTTTGAAACTCCTCAAAATTGTACACTATTTTGAAGGTCAAACATAGAATGAAACTTGAGGTATTCACAATTCATAGGAGGAGAGATGCGAACAGAACATCATTTAGATCATTACATCAAAATTCAATGTTTTATTTTATAAATTTATTCAATTCGATGATATTGCGCAACGATCAATGAGTATTTCACTAGTTAATGTTATTATGAAAAACTAATCAACTTTATACAGGTTCTCCAATCGACAAATTACAACAAGATTTACAGACTAAAATGAATTCCTTACAATTTAACGCCTTTCATCAGCTACAAACAGCCAATAATTTTAAGAACCAATAAAATTATAAGTGAACATTTAACATACTTTAGCTATTGTAGTTCAAATGAATATTCTTAAACAATACTGAAAATCATGAACATAAGAATGATGAGACCAATCATACAGAGTAGAGTAGGTGAATTTATAAATACTACATAATAGTGATAATTTCATCATCCAGTGTAATTTTCAATTATTCACAGTTGATGATAAACTTAGAAATATAATGCTTGTTTGTTTACATTAATTTTTAATTAAACAGGAAATGCTAATATTTGAACGAAGAATATTCTTTTCGATAAATTCTCTTCAGATTCTACAATTATATATCCAAACTAATAATCCAAAAAATGGTCAAGTTAAAGGCAAAGTACATCGTATAAAGGATGTAAATTTAGGATTGTCAAACCAAATAGAATAGTCTGTCGGTTAAGTGCTCTGTCGCAAGACTGGTAGGTCCTGGTTTATAATCCCACGAGTGCGGGATCGTGGATGCGCACTGCTGAGGAGTCCCATAATAGGACGAAACGACCATCCAGTGCTTCCAGGTTCTCCATGGTGATCTAGCTTCAACTGACTTATGATTTCAACTATGATAATAGAATAAAATTTTTAATATTGATATAACTCATATATAATGTGAATTTGAATCTGTATATATGTTAAGTGAAAACTTAAGATCCATGACCAGAATATAAATATGGATCAGATAGGATGACCCTATCAATTTAAAAATTTTTCTTAATTATGGATGCTTTTTTTAATTCTTCAACCATTTCAGATAAAAATACAATCTACACTATTGAAACTGGTATCAAATTAAAACAACAAATTGTATATAATCAAAATTTCAAATTTGAATTCAATTCAAATAAATTAAGTACAATTAATTATTTTATAAAAACAAATAAAAATAAAAAATTTCAAATCATGGATCAATTTACAATAATTGATAATAATAATTATATCATACAATCTACTCATAAATGTGATATAAGTAGTATGTTATCAATGAATATGAAATTTATTCATTCTATTAAAAAAACAAGAAATTCTATGGATGCATATCGATTAAATGAAAAATTATTATTAAAACAAAATAAAATGATTCATTTTAATCCTAATAAAATAATATGTACTACTTATTTCTTATGCAAGTAAGTTTAGTTTTCATAGTTAGAAGAATTTTTGTGGAGATTTATTATTTTCATAGTTGAAAGCATGAGTCAATTGAAGCTAGATCACCATGGAAAACCTGGAAGTACTGAACAGCGGTTTCGGTCTATCGTGGGACTCCTCAGCAGTGCGCATCCACGATCCCGCACTCGTGAGATTCGAACCCAGGACCTATTAGTCTGGTGCAAGAGCACTTAACCTCTAGACTACTGAGCTGGCCGGCATTCAACGGTGTTAATGTCTAACCACAACCAATCAATGAAATTGAGTGACACATCCACCAATATCTTCAGTGAGTTGATATCTCACAGCAAACGTGGTTTGAATTCAACTGGTCACTGCTTCTCACTAGAACTCCTGGATTTAGCTTTCGAAGTCAGTCCTGGATTCGAATCTCGCGGGGCGAGATCATGGATGCGCACTGCTGAGGAGTCCCACAATAGGAAGAAACCGCCGTCCAGTAATCCCAGGTTTTACATGGTGGTATAGCTTTAATTTTTATAATAATTTCTTTCTTTATATGATTGAAATTTAAATACTAGACAATGAAATAATGCAAAATAATATGAATATTTCTGATCATGACTTGACGATTAGTCTCATTCTAGATTGATACAAACTTACTAATTTACTTACTTACGCCTGTTACTCCCAATGGAGCATAGGCCGCCGACCAGCATTCTCCAACTCACTCTGTTCTGGGCATTTCTTTCTAGTGCTATCCAGTAATCTTTGACAACTTGAGTTAAAGATATTTGCCTTCAATTTCAGCAAATATTAGTTATCTACTTATATAAGTATTGATAATTTCCAATAAATTGAGCATTGAGTAGATTGTTATAAATAAATTAATAAAGTTTAAATATCCTAATGAGTAGTAAAATTAGATTTTTTGACATTTCGTAACTCAGGGTAAGTCACTTCTACAGAGAATAAATAATCAGATCAAACTTTTTATCTGATTTACACTGAGTCATCAAAATATCAGAAAATCTCATTTTCTACTCATTCAAATTTGCTAATAAATTATTTCTTTGAAAAGTGACTTACACTGAGTGACGAAATGTCAGAAAATCTAAATTTTCAACTCATTGGGATATTATAAATGTATTCTTTATTTACTGATATATAATTTCTTTCTTTATAAAATGAATGAACTAGGCAATAAAATAATGCATGATAATATCAATAATTCTGTTCTTAAATTGATAATTATTCACATTCCAGATTGGTATAAACTTAAGGATTGAATAAAACATAATTCATGGAACAATAATTTCATCATCTACGATAATATGCATTACCGAATTCAATATCATCAGAGTTCTTGCGTAATTTTTGTTATTAACTGTCACCATAATTCTTGTTGTTTTCCGGCATTTATTTATTTTATTTAAACACAAATATTGGTAGAAAGGGGCACCAGATATATATGCACCACACTAATCTCATTTCATTTATGTGAGGGGTGTGAAACTGACCAGGTGCCCAAACAGAATTAGGTGGTTACCTCAGGTGGCCACACTCGGAGCCTTCAATCTAAAGGTCTGATCCATAAGGCAGTGGAGCATCGTGAAGAGATACAGTCTCATGGTAGTCGGTGACCAACGATTGATTCATAGGTCATCTGTTTCCTCAGGATACTGAAGTCCATGTGCATTATTGGTTTGGAATCGAGGTTTTCCAACTCCCCTAGGTGGACTCGCCTTGTCCACGAACTCGGTTAAAGCACGGAACATTCGCTTTACGTCCTCTCAACTTCGTAAACAACACCCCATTCCATGAGGAGGCGGCGAGTAGGACTTCCGTGGCATAGGCTATATACGCGTGGCCATGTGAGAGCATTTCGAGAGGGAGAGTGGACTCTCCCCACTCTCGACCGTACCAGGGCATTCGGGGGCAACAGTGATAAATGTACAAACATCAAATACATTTTCTTTCTTATAATATATAATTTAAAATAGTACAACAATTCATAAACTTGATCGGGTTAGCATAAAAAGGAATAATACAATAAAAACTTATGGGATCAGTAATTGAAGAAATGTGACTGATAAACAGTTATGACTGAATATTTATCCCAAAGACGTAAATAACCTAGAGCGCATGATGCAAGCGAAATATATGATCATTACTACAGTATTGCTATTCGAGTTCACAGAGCAATAGTTAATTGTTTTAAGCATAGCATTTTCTTTTGTAACCAGTGTGATAAGATGAGCGCACTAAGAAAGTGGCATGACCAAAACATTGTGCTCGTCTTTGATTTCATAGAGGCTTTACAGCATACTTACTTACTTACTTTCGCCTGTTACTCCCAATGGAGCATAGGCCGCCGACCAGCATTCTCCAACCCACTCTGTCCTGTGCTTCCTTTTCTAGTTCTATCCAGTTCTTGTTCATTCTTCTCATGTCTGTCTCTATTTCTCGGCGTAATGTGTTCTTCAGTCTTCCTCTTCTCCTTTGACCTTCAGGATTCCATGTGAGGGCTTGCCTTGTGACGCAATTGGGTGATTTCCTCGAAGTGTGCCCTATCCACTTCCAGCGCTTCCTCCTGATTTCTTCCTCCACCGGATGGAATCTGGTTTGTTCTCTCCCACAGTAACTTGTTGCTGATAGTGTCTGGCCATCGGATCCGAAGTACCTGCGTAGACAACTGCTAATAAACACTTGTATCTTCTGGATAATAGCTTTCGTAGTTCTCCACGTCTCCGCCCCATACAATAGAACTGTCTTGATATTTGTATTGAAAATTCTAACTTTGGTGTTGGTTGACAATTGTTTTGAGCTCCAGATGTTTTTCAGTTGTAAGTATGCTGCTCTTGCTTTGCCGATCCTCGCCCTCACATCTGCATCTGATCCACCGTGTTCATCAATGATGCTGCCCAGATATGTAAAGGTTTCCACATCCTCCAAAGCTTCTCCGTCAAGTGTAATTTGATTGGTGCATATTGTGTTGTATCGGAGAGTCTTGCTTTTCCCTTTGTTTATATTGAGACCTACTGCTGCTGAGGCTGCTGCTACACTGGTCGTTTTCTTTTGCATTTGTTGTTGCGTTTGTGATAGAAGAGCCAGATCATCCGCGAAGTCTAAATCGTCAAGCTGCATCCTGTCTGTCCACTGTATCCCGTGCTTTCCTTCAGTCGTTGACGTCTTCATGATCCATTCGATGACCAGGAGAAAGAGAAAGGGTGAGAGTAAGCAACCTTGCCTAACACCAGTCTTTACTTCAAACGAGTCGGTGAGTTGTCCTCCGTGGACGATTTGGCAGTTTAGTCCATCATAGGAGATCCGTATGATATTGACTATCTTCTCAGGCACGCCGTAGTGTCGAAGAAGCCTCTATAGTGTCGTCCTGTCCACGCTATGAAATGCCTTCTCGTTGTCGATGAAGTTGATGTACAGTGATGAATTCCATTCGATTGATTGTTCCACAATGATACGTAGAGTTGCGATTTGATCTGTGCACGATCTATCCTTACGAAATCCAGCTTGTTGATCTCGAAGTTGGGCGTCCACGGAATCCTTCATCCTGTTTAACAATACTCTGTTGAAGACTTTTCCTGGTATTGAGAGGAGAGTGATGCCCCTGTAGTTGTCGCACTTTCTAAGATCACCTTTCTTTGGTATTTTGATCAGAATTCCTTTTTTCCAGTCTGTTGGTACTTGTTCTTCGTCCCAAATCTTACTGAAGAGGATGTGGAGTATCTTGGCAGTTGCTGTTACATTTGCTTTCAGTGCCTCTGCCGGGATGTTGTCTGGTCCCACTGCTTTGCTGCTCTTGATTTTTCTAATGGCCATGCTGATCTCTTCAATTGTTGGTGGGCCAATATCGATTGGGAGGTCCGTGGGTGCTGCTTCGATGTTGGGTGGGTTCAGTGGAGCTGGTCGATTCAAGAGTTCTTTGAAGTGTTCTACCCACCTGTTCCGTTGTTCTTCAATGTCGGTGATTACTTTGCCTTCCTTGCTTTTCACTGGTCTTTCTGGTTTACGGTCATTTCCAGCATGTTTCTTTGTTGTGTCATACAGTTGTCTCATGTTTCCCTCTCTTGCAGCCTTTTCCGCTGTCATCGCTAAATCTTCCACATATTTACGTTTGTCGGTTCTGATGTTCCTCTTTACTTGCTTGTTTGCCTCTGTGTATTCGGCTTGTGCCTTGGCTTTTTCCCCTCTGGTTTGGCTGGTGTTGATTGCTGCCTTCTTGTTCCTTCTTTCTTCAATTTTGTCCAGTGTACCAACAGTGATCCATTCCTTGTGATGGTGCTTCTTTTGGCCCAGAACCTCTTGACACGTTGAAACGATTGTCTCCTTGATACTTTTCCAGTTGCTCTCCATGGTAGTTCCCTCTCTATTGAGCAGATCATGAAAGGCCTGGAACCTGTTGCTGAGTGCTATGTTGAATTTGTTGAGTTTGTCAGCATCTCGAAGAAAGGCCGTATTAAACTTTTGTGATGTTGTCCGCACCGTTGTCCAGTGCTTCTTGAGTTTTAGTTTCATCTTGGCGACCAGCAAATGATGATCGTATGCTACATTTACAGCATACAACAGTTGTGAATTATTATTACTTTAGTAGAGAGACAGGGACATCATGTCTACCGTTACATGATTTTGAATTTAATATTTGATAAAAACCTTTATTTCTTACATTTTATTGAGTAACGAAAACGATTTAAAATATAAATCAAGTGTACTTTGCTCGTGATAAGTTTGTGTTATATCAGCGTCTCTTGCTCTTATACTTGAAAGAACGAGGGACCACTGCAATTACCACGACACGAAGTAAGAACACCAAGACTGGTATAAGTGAAAATTTACTAAACTGAAAACATGTCGACGACCGTAGTCGAAAATACACTGATTATGTATTAATAGTGTACCCATTTTAATTAATAATTAAAATATTATCACATATATGAAAAATACTGTGAGTTGTAACATTTACATGCTGCATGTCATGTTAAGTATAGTGCATGTTCGTCCAATATAAGAATATCGTTTCTTGAATAAACATAACATAAATAAATTAATGTTATACTGAATAAAATATCATACTAGAAAGTAGAACAAATACTATAATGAGTAATCATCTCAATGAATTAAAACGGAAGTAATGTTAAAGAAAAATTCCAATGGATAACATATTGTGCTTTTGCCGTTTCATCTCGTCATATCAGTTTACACAACCCAGTCACATTAAAAAAAAACTAATCATATTTAAAATGGCTAACTGATAATGTATATGTTTGTACAGGATAGAACCTACAACAATCTATTTTCCGTAATTTTTTAATGGTTACTGTCGATTCCCTCCAACTACTAAACATTATTTATTCGGTAACATGATCAATAAGATATAAAATGAACAACAAAAAAACAATGAAAACACATTAATAATTGCAGTATTGCATTGGAGTTATGGGCATATCAATGTTAGACCACTATTGAAAATCTGGAAGCACTGAACAACCGTTTCGTCCTAGCATGGCACCCCTAAGTAGTTCACAACGATTTACTAAAATCATGATATTCCAGGCACTAATATTGTTCAAGAATTATCGAGAAAGTAAACTTTTAATTAATTAATTTTTTACACAAATTCAACTGATATATGATTATACATTACAAGTGTATAAGTCAATCAACAATTGTGCATCAGTTTTCTATAAACAAACGTTAACTTCGATATTTTACCTTTAAAACATAGAAATTTGATGAAAATATTAAATTTATTAAATAGAATATGAAATATATCAAGTGCGAACAAACGGGGGGGGGCTTCTAAAAACAGAAGTATTTAGGCGTTATTGTTAGGTAACCAATATAATATATGTACATGTATATTTCATATCTGGGTGTTTATGTATTAATAATTAATTTTTTTTTCTTCATTTCTACAATAAACAGATTACAATCTTAACACCAGTTTCATAATAAATTACAAAAAATGAAATGAAAACCTTTTTGGATATTGAATTAATTTTCTTTTTCTAATTTGATATATATTTGATTATTACTGCCATTATAAGTAGTATATTTTCTATTTATTCAGAAATTGTCAGTTAACTAATAAACATTTCTGCAAGTGGAATTATGACAATCATAGTTGTTTGTTAAATGAGTAAGTTTATTATTTAAATATTGCTGTCCTTCAGTGATTAATTGTTTAAAATAATGTTTCTTATTATTTTCCAGGTAAAAAAAATGTGAAGTAGTTATATGGAGGGGTGATTTTGATAATAATTTGCCAGATAATTTTTACCTTATCAAGTGAACCGAAAATGATGCATTTCGTTCTAGTCTGTAACGCATCAGTAGTTTATTATAACAGCAGAATACATAATATTGAGTCCTAGAAAACTTTCAGTACTTAATCGCTTAGACAAAATAAAGTGATCTAGATATTCTGTTCAAATCTGTGGTTCTTCAATTGACCTCATTTGATCATTAAAAACCCATTCATAATGATTATTAATATTGTAAAAAGTTATCTGGTATTTGTAAAGAAAGACCATATTGCTGATGAAACTCTATGGTATCATCTAATATCTATTTAACAAATATAATCTAAAATATGATGCAAATAATCCACATATTATTTACTTAAAGATTTAAGACGATAACAATCCACAAAATATTTAGTTATGCAATCGTAATTATTCCATAAAATGTAATATTGTTTCTTAACAAGTGACAGACAATTTCGTCAAACGTAGAACAAATAACATATACAGTGATGATAAGTGAAAAACATAAAATTATAAACCGGATACGAATTTTAAATTAACAGAACTGGAGATATTATTTGAATCCTAGTATGATTTTCAAATAAGATCGTTGGATTAACACTGCAAACAATAGTTATTCGATCCCTCGATAAATAAACAAAATCGATGTATCTGCACCCGTACTTATGCTCATATCACGACTTGAATTCAGTACCTTTCGATTCAAACACTCAATCCCTAACGACAGACGGATTCAAACTTTTACAAATGTAGTAAGGTACGTCCCTGTTGCACAAGCCAGTATCTATTTGGACTAAGCAGCTCAGATGTAAGAGTTTGGATAATCCTGTTATTAAGTATTGAACTTTTGAAGAGAAGAGTAATGGGTTCGATTTTCGGTGTGTAATGTGAATTAACTACACTGTGGTTTGTTTGAATAGTGCTTTATCTTAAAAGCCAACACAGAATGGTTCACTTAATATAATACTCATCAATAAATAGCATGATGAAAATGTGAGCCATTAGGACACGCTTCCGGAGATTTTAGACCGTATATCGTTCTTCACAACTCTAAATAAGGATCATCTTCAGTACTCTTTATCACTGGCAAATATTTTACAAAATCCACAAGTATTTTCTTCATTGCCTTTCTAAGTATTGCTCTTGAATCGGTAACTGAGGACCATGAGTGAAATATCTCAGACATGTTCACTAGTCATTTTTCATTAATTTTGTCTTTTTTCGCATCAGCGCCCCTGTACGTTCTCCTATTATTCTCTTTTCAATTCTTTTCTTAAATTATAATGAGTTTCTGGTACTGTTGAAGGAAACACATTTGAAATCTGATTTTATCGAATTGAAATTATTACAAGTTAATTCAGTGAACAATCGTATTTACATAGAAGAAGCAATTTATTTAATATTCTCATAAATTCGTTCATTATTTATAAACTTTTCATTAGACAAAGAATTTTTACTTTACAAACATTCGAGAAAATCTAACACTTTTGAGTGTGTGTACATTACATTTCAGTTCTTCATATTCTCAACTTAAATCAATGGATTCCAATTTATATCATTTTTGTAATGATCATGATCATGATGATGAAGTTTACGTTAACCAACTGGAACGATATCATCTACTCCGTAGTTTTTCAAGTAAGTCTTTCTTCTACTTAGTGAAGTATTATCAGCTTTTTCATGTAAGTAAATTTAAATAATAATAACTGTTATTGTTAGTCTTGTTGACATGATATCTGTCTAGCAACCAAAGAACGGGTTTACTGTGCAGCAGTTCGTTCCATCCTTCTTTATAACAGTGAAACATGGCCGATAAGAGTAGAGGATATGCGTAGGCTACTAGTATTCCATCATAGGTGTCTTCGAAGCATTGCTCGTATATCGTGGGACCACCGAGTAAGTAATGCAGTTGTTAGGATTTGAATCGGCAGCTGCATCTCTGTGCTAATGTGGAATGGCAACTATAAGTGATGTACGTACGTACGAAGTTGTACGTTGTGACTAACTGACTGACTGTTGAAATGATGGCCATTCAACTAAACATCTTAGTAAAAAGTATTAATTTCTTCTGTATAGTTTGATTAATTAACCTTTGAAACCATTCACTAGTAACTAAATGAAAACATAGATGATAACAAGAAAATAATCATTTATATAGTCAATTACCATCCATATAATAGGATGAAAATAATTAAGTTTATTATCCTCTTATTCTGAAATGGTGGATAAGATTTGTAGCTGAGGTGGGTGTTTTTGATGGAATTTTGTTCTCTGAGCTGGATGGTTTGGTCTTGGAGTTTTTATCGTCCTTCTGAACAACACTTCACTTCTACCCGAAGTTTGTACTATTGATTTCGTTCAGAAACACGATGGAAGCTCCACGACCAAACTATCCAGCTCAGAGAACAAAACTCCATCAAAATCCTCTTATTTTGGATAATTCTAATTCTAATAACAAGTATACCTTTAATTAACTTTAATTGAATAAAATGATTAATTTCTCTTTAGATGAATCTAATGCGAATAATAATATTTTATCAAAAAAGCAAATTACAAAGGTGAACTTCCATAATGAAGAATTAAATTTGGTGATTATTCGTGAATCAACACCGTCAGTGATTAATACAAAAACAATAAAATACAATAAACATATTAATACCAATAATAGAAATCATAGTAATCATAATGAAACTGATTTTAATTATAAATCATTATATAATCATATATTTAATGGTATTCTTATATTATCTATTCTTATTATATGTATACCACTTAGTATGATATGTGGTTTTCTAATAGGTAACAAAAATTATTTGAAACAATATACAGTATATAATAAAGTGAAACGTCTGTTACATCATCATCATCGTCATCAACAACAACATGAACCGAACTATTATCGTACCTCTTCAGCTTCCTCATTCTCTTCGTCTACTTTTCATAATCGATATAATCCTTACATTGATCTGTCTAATGATCAACTTGAAATGTTTCATTCCAACTGTAATGTACATCACTATCATCAGAATTATTGTCAATGTAGTCAGAAACGTTTTCAAAAAACTATAAGTGGTAAAAACGAATGTAGTAATGGTAAAAATAATAAAGGGGATTTAATAAATTCACAGCACCATTGTAATAATATAAATACTATTGCTAATAATAATAATAATAATAATAATAATAATAATAATAATAATAATAATAATAATGAGACAGTGAAGTTTCTGCGAAATTCATTAGAAAAACCTAATACAATAATGCATGGCTGCTTTTATCATTATTATAATGATGATCAACCAAACGAAACATCAAATGAAATTATATCGAATGAATACAGTCTAACACCAAATCAACACTCCTCAACAAAAACTACAAATAATATACATTTATATTATACTACTGATCAACATATAAATAGCATTGATAATTATATAAAATCTAGGCATATAAAAGTAAATCCATTAATTGCAGTTAGTGTGATCAGTGAAAATTTACCACATAATAACAGATTTATACCCAATTCAACTATAATTTCATCATTAACATCAACAACATGTCTGTCGTCATTACAAACATCGACTACTATTACAACAACACCAATAGCAGTAACAATGAATATGTTTGCTTCTACAACAACTACTACTCAATTCACTTCAGTCTCTTGTTGTACACCAATACAATCATCTAGATTATTTCAACAACGATTTCAATCATCCATCGGATTTAAAAGTCCTAATAATTATTTAGCTACAAATAATAATAATAATTCTAATCAATATTATTACACTTATGTAACAATGAAATCATCTGAAACAGCTATTCAACACAACAATAATAACAAATGTTTGAAATCTGTGAATAGGTTAAGAACCAATAATGATGATGGTGAAATGTTTTAATATCCTCAGTTATTTTTTTTATACATGATTGTGTGTATATGAATGTATGTGCTTCTTTATCTTGAGTAAAATAAATTTGATGGCTACTGTGGTGCCAGGCGATTTATTACTAATCAATGTCCAATAAAATAAATAATTATGCTTTATACTACTAAGGACTAAGAACAGTACAGATAAAAGTTGTAAAAATGTTCGTGATTGAAAAATTTACCAACAAAATTGAGTACACTTCTCTCTTGACAGTAGTTTTTACCCAAGTCCATTATGATAACCCAGCCGAGCTAAATTGTTTGGAACATTTACTCCCTTAAGTTCAACAGCGACAAGCAGGTTTGTCATGGTACGGTAAAACTAATAACAACTACTACTAATTCAGTTTCCTTTTCAGATTTCTCAAGAACAAATATAGTTTCCGATGTAGACAACCAAGAAGGACAAACCCCCTACACTCTTAGCAGCACTCGAGATCGCCTTGTTTATTATGCATATTTTTTACATTTGAAGAAAAAACGATATGACAATTGTCATGAAAGTGACGTTATAATTATACTGTGAAACTTTTAGATCAGATAGATTTAACCAGTTTTCTATTGTTTACTTTTACAGTTTTTAATCGGAATTTCCGTTTACCAGCTGCTTAGAATAACTTCTTAAAATTACGTTATTTGTAAAACGACCGTTTTTAAAAAAATTTTTAAACATGAAGCGCTTAATCAGAAACGCAACTGATTATAAGTCAGATCTAATTTCATTAAGCGGCTGAATATGTGAACTCGACTCTAAGAAGTCGAAAGCTTTATGATTTCTCACAGTTAGCTGATTTTTACAGAAACATCATGGTGAAATACGTTTTGTAAATTCACTAGATATTTTGCTACATACTTACGCCTGTTATCCCACTTCAAGGAGCATAGGCCGCCCGCCAGCATTTTCCACCCAAGTCAGTCCTGGGCAAACCTTTCCAGTTGTTATTCATCCTTTCTATATCTGCTTTTATTCCTTAGGCAGTGTGATCTTTGGCCTTCCTCTTCTCCGCTTCCCTTCACCATTCCAAGTTAGGGATTGCCTCATGATAAAGTTTGGTGATTTCCTTAATGTATATCCGACCCACTTCCAATTTCATTTCCTAATTACATGTGCAACTGGAATCTGGTTTGTCCTCTACCACAGAAGGCTGTTGCTGATGGTATCTGGCCATCAGATATCGAGTATCTTGTATAAACAATTGTTTATAAATACCTGTGCCTTTTTGATTATAGTTGTAGTTTTCCACGTTTCAGCACCATACAGTAGCGCAGTCTTAACGTTTGCATTGAAGGTTCCCACTTTGATATAGGTCGACAGTTGTTTTGAGTTCCATATGTTCTTCAGTTGTAGGAATGTGGTCCTTGCTTTGCTAATCCTTGCCTTTACATCTGCATCTGATCCTCCTTGTTCATCAATGATGATTTCCAGGTACGTGAATGTTTCCACATCCTTCAGAGTTTTTCCATCAAGTATGATCAGCTTGTGGTTCTCTGTGTTGTATTTGATAATCTTGCTTATTCCTTTGTGTATGTTGAGGTCTGTTGATGCAGAGGCTGCTGCTATACTAGTTGTCTTCGTCTCTATTTGTTGGTGTGTATGGGATAGGAGGGCTAGGTCATCGGCAAAGTCCAAGCCGTCTAACTGATTCTAAACTGTCCATTGTATTCCGTGTTTTCCCTCAGATGTCGAGGTCTTCATAATCCAGTAAATCAGGAACGGAGAGAATAGAAAGCCCTGTCTGACCCCGGTCCTTACTGGAAATGAATCTGTCAGCTGTTCTCCGTGCATCGATTCGCACTGTAGTCCGTCGTATGACTTCTGGATAATGCTAACAATCTTCTCAGGAACTCCAGTCTCGAAGATGTTTCCTTAATGTTCTCCTATCCACACTGTCAAACGACTTCTCATAGTCGATGAAGTTGATGTATAGTGCCGAGTCTCACTCACCTGATTGTTCCATGATGATCCGTATTGTCGTAATTTGGTCTGTGCACGACCAATCCTTCCGGAATCCAACCTGTTGATCTTGAAGTCAAGCTTCTACTGCATCGATGTCCGGTGGATTCAATGAAGCTGGTCTATTCAGCTGTTCCTCGAATTATTCTGCCCATCTTTTCCTCTGTTCTTGAATCACCGTGATTGGCTTGCCTTCTTTGTCCCTAACTGGTCTCCGGTTTACTATATCTCCCTGCTAGTTTCTTCGTTGCATCATATAGTTGTTTGATATTCCCTTCTCTTGCAGCGTTTTTCGCCGTCGTTCATAGTTCTTCCATGTATTTCTGCTTGTCGGCTTTAATGCTACACTTTACTTGCTCATTTGCTTCTGTGTACTCTACTTGTGCTTTGACTTTTTCTGATCGTGTTCGACTGTTGTTAATTGCTATTTTCTTGTTCTTCCTTTCTTGAATCTTGTCAAGGGCTCTCACAGAGATCCATTCCTTATGATGATGTTTCTTGTGACCCAGAACCTCCTGACACGTTGAAGTCAGTGCTTCTTTGATCCCTTTCCAGTTGTCCTCCAAAGTAGTTTCTTGTTCTTTCAGCAGATCCTGTCAACCTTGGGACCTGTTGTTGAGGGTTATCTTGAATTGATACAGTTTCTTTGTATTTCGAAGGAATGCTGTATTGAACCTTTTTAATGCTGTTCCCCTAGTTATACAGCGTTCCTTTATCTTCAGTTTCATTTTGGCCATCACCAGGTGGTGGTCTGAAGCTATGTCAGCTCCTCTTCTGGTTCTCATATCTTCCATTATCTTTCGAAATTTTTGTTGATGCAAATGTGATCTGGTTCTCTGTGGTGTGGTTCGGTGAGATACATGTAGCTTTGTGCATGCGCTTGTGTGGAAATATTTTGCCGCCTATAATCAATTTCTTGGATACACATAGATCTGTAAATCTCTCCATTTTCATTTCTCTCTCCCATTCCATGTCGTCCCATTATATCTTCATATCCTGTGTTGTCCACTATGACTTTAGCGTTTAGATCTCCCATCAGGATTGTGAGGTCCTTCCTTGAGCACGTCGCTATGATTGATTGCAGCCTTCTATGAAACTGATCTCTATCGTCGTCGTTACTATCATTGGTGGGTGCATAATATTCATTGTGATTCCCATGTTCTTTGTTTTGAATGATGCTTTGATGATTCTGGATCCATGAGATTCCCATCCTACAAGTGCACTTCGTGCTTCTCTGGATAACATTAGAGCAACTCCATGAGAGTGTAGAGCATTTCGCCCTTCGTGACCGGAGTACAGCAGCATCTCTCTCGTACCTAGCCTTTGTTTTCCAGCTTGTGTCCAATGATTCTGAGTACTACCAATTTGTATCTCCTCACTTCAGTTGCTATTTGACTGGTGTTTCCGGTCTCCCACATTGTCCGGACGTTCCATGTACTTATGAAGAGTGTTGCTCTGGCTGTTAGAAGGGGCATCGGCCTCGTGACTTACGAAGGATCTTGGCTTCCATCCTAAGGCGTCAAGATTGTTCCTTCAACTCCCAGGGCAGAGTTTAAATCTTTTCTGGTTTGCGTTTTTTCAGCGAGTTAGTTTTCTACGGGATGGGGTAACCAACCCCGTGCCCAACTCTCCTCTGTGTAGGCTTGGGATCGGCAGTGACTCTAGAAGAGCTACAGGCGGAGATTCGCTACATACAGCTACCTATAAAATAATGCCTCGATTTCAAAGTCTAACTTCAGAGACTTCGTTAGGAAATCAGTTAATGCTACTTTCCTAACAAATTGCCCACATTAATATTTAGAAATAATGCCTGTTTGAATTTTCAAGAAATACTTTATTGACGTATAGTTATTTGAGAGCTAAAGTTACTTTACCGCAACAAAACACGACGAAACCTTGAATAAGGCTCTTTTATGGGGAAACCAGTGAAAAGTTTGAATTCAAAATGAATGTTACAAGTATTCCTTAGGTCTATCACTTCATGACTGGTTTGGTCAGCCCAAACCGAAAATGGGATCAATCCATGAATGTTGGACCTAGCTGAGAAGGTAGATCTAGACCACCTGGTTAAGGTTCACATGACTAGCATAACCAGTGTTCGGAGATGCCGCTTAGAATTGATGACTGAGGAACAGATGTGCACACCCTATCTTGAAATCCATATACCAGTTGACGAACAAATTTGCTTTTTATTCTCTAATCATCTTGTCTATGCCTAATCTTTTCTGTTGCCACTGTAATTGTTACTGCTTCTCCAACTCCTGTATTTGTCTTGATTTCATCTTTCTGTGCTGATATAGTGTGGTGAGCTTAACCGATGTACGTGCCAAGGTCTACCTTCATTTTGAGTGAATGAATTATTTGGTGGTGTAAGTATATAGCACATCTCCTACAATTAAATTTGTCAAGTCCGTCAATTAACTTATTTAACAGTATTATTCGGACAATAAAAACTTGTCTATAACTTTGTATTAATATGATCACGTGTGAAAGCCTACGCACATAATCCTCATTCTACCTTGAATGTTAGTCGCTTAATGACGGTTATCAGGGTGATTGACATACGAAGCCTAAGGAATTATCCCAAAGCCAAGTCACTACAAGCATAAAGATGCAGTACACCTTAAAACAATGATCACGTACTTTTATATCAAATTATTTATTTGTTTATTCAACATGAATTTCCACACATCGATTGGTCAATTCAAAACTGTTTACGTTATTAGAGAAGCCACATATCTTTGACTGTCAAGCAAAACAGTACCACTAATATGAAGGAGAACAAATGAATTACAGTAGAAAACATTTGATCTTATTGATTCATCGGTTATCTAAATAACTGAGTATTCACTTTCACTATATTCAAACTGATAAGCATGAAAAAAGGTCATCTCGTTGACTATTGTGCAACGACCACCAAATCGATTTTCACACAATATAATTACGTAGCTTAATTCATTACATGCCGATTAAAACATGTCAGTTATTACTACAGTACTTGTCATGTTTTTATCACTGAATGTTTCTCCAAATTTCTTTATCTCTACAATCTTAATTTCATGTCATTGTGCTTAAATAGTTCGACTAACTATAGTAAGCCCTGATGCATTTGCATATGCCCTGAACCGATCTATGAACATGTAGGGCCTAATAAAAGTATGCACTTCCACACACCACAGTACGGTAAAAATATTTATTCAGTACATTAAAAAAATAACTAGAAAATATTCTTCGAAAAAAGAAGCAGAATGCGGAATAAAAGTACGAATTCACATGAAAGTCATTAGACTACGGTTAATAATGAATGCATTTTCAAAACGACGGTTGAACGCGTCAAAAACAACTAGAGAATATAGATTTATAGATCAGTAAGGTAAGACTTAAATGTAGAGTCTGATTTTTACTCACTTAATCAATGCTAAAAATGGCTCAAGTTGGCGAAACCCAGGAGAGCTTTTGGATCGATGACGGAAATTTTGTCAGGCACTAATTCATCAGGCTCAATGAGACTTCTATAAGTGAACTCATCATCATATGTCAGCAGGTAGATTCTATTTGGCCGAATATGATTAACGCAAATGATTGGGAGACAACGTTTGACGACTTTATCTAAGCTCAGTAGAAATACATATATGATATCCAGGTTACCTAAACTTTAGTTAAAAGCTATATTTGGTGAGTCATTACATTAATTCAACAGAAAACACAGTGGTCATGTAGTGAACGAGAACTCAAGTGGGGATAACCACTTTCGTAAAACGTGAAAAACCATACATTAAGTACTTCATTTGCAAATCTTAATTCAATAGTCTCAAACTCCATCGTTCCTTTATTGCTACTACAATTACTCTCTGTTTACATCCCCGTTCTCTTCAACTCGATCTTTTCAACCCTCTATTGCCAGGAATTCCACTTTTCATTGTAGTTACATACTACTTTTTTTCTGTCAACATAAGTAGTATGTACCACAATCATAGCTTTTATATTTCCGTTATCTTTACTATCTGATAACAGATTTATGTCGTATGTTCATCCACCCTTTTGAGAATTAATCGCATATAACAATGATTGAAAATCGGTTAACAAAAGTTCGTAAATATCCTAAAACTATGATTACCTGGTTCAACAATGATAGATAAATGAAATTCTATTTAGAATTTCCATACAATTCTTAATAATAACTAATTCTATAGGGAGAAATGAATAATTATTAGTTGTTTTGTGACCTTTGAATTTATTCTTAATTTCCAGCTATACTATTTTGGTTGGATATTTTGAAAAAAACAAAATGATTTAAACTTTAAAATATTTATAAAGTCATGAAACCGATCAACGGTTTTCTTACGTAATCTATTCAGTTGAAAATTCAATATCAATATTGTGAGCCAATTTTTAATTGATTGAGTTAATCTGTTTCAAGTTTCTTATCAACTACTCAACGGATTACAATTATGAACAGTGATATGATTGTATAAGATATCAAGTTCAGACAAAACCTAGTGTCTTTTTATGAAATAGAATTTTATAAATGAATTAACACTAGTTAGAAACAAAGAAAATAATGTCTGTCGACAGATGATATGAAGTTATCAAATGATGACTCCTCACGAGATAGAATTATTGACGTAAGTTCCCAAGTTGAACTGATATCAGAAGACAGCTTAGCCCCAGAAACAGATTTTTCTAGTAAAATACCATGCTTGTGCATAAAGTACCACGAGGAGTATGATTGAATGTAATAGCTTATTCGCGAGAATCAATTTTGTAAGTTATTCACACCCCACTGGATTAAGACCTCGTCCATCGTATCAGTTTGTCAGATCACCTAAACTAAAAAACGCGCAGACACTGAAAATAAATTGCCGAAACAAGTCGACTTCCGTTTATCCCATCACTGCTATTCAATTTCTATTAACTAACAATGGAATTTACTGTTAAAATATACTGGTGAATGCCACTAATTATAACTGTCTTTTATCCACACAACATATCGTAAAAACCAATAGAATTATGAATAAAAAAGGTCAGGAAATTTGACACTTCCCACACTATACTTTATATTTCTAAACAATAAACACAATATAACAGTGTTACATAAGAAATTATGAGTCAAAATGTAGTTTAGCTCAACTGAATCTCGAAAGTTACTATTTTCATCCAGGAAAGAAACGAAATGAGAAATCTGTGATAGGATTAAGACACAGGGAGTATTTATAATGCTGTACATATAATATATATATATGTATATATATTAATGGTAAATCTCGCTCAAAGAATATTTATAAACTATTTAGACTCATTTAGAACGCTTCGCATCAAATGTTTTTTATAAGAGAAAATATCACCTTCCCAAGGAGTTATAGTACCATTCTCACATACCCAGATTTCTTTTGCAACCTAAAAAAAAACAATGAAAAAAACAGTAAAAATTGAAATTAATTTTTATGAATAAAATTTATTAATGAGGCTAAATTTACTTGATCCTAAAAAGGAAACATTAAACATTGACAATATTCTCAACATAAAATATATCGTATTATATTTATCCTACTCACTGCCATTTCGTGGCGGGGGTGTTGTTTACGAAATAGAGAGGACGGAAAGCGAATGTCCGGCGCTTCAATCGGGTTGGTGGACACGGCGAGTCCACCTAGGGGAGTTGGAAAACCCCGATTACGAACCAATAGTGCACATGGACTAACGGAAGAAATGACGTATGAATCAGTCGTTGGTGACCGGCTACCATGGGAATGCATCGCCTCACGATGCTCCACTGCCTTGTGGATTAGACCTTTAGGTCGAATGCTCCGAGTGTGGCCTATTAAGAAAACCACCTGTTTCACTTTGGGCACCTCAGCAGTATCACAGCCCTCACACAAATTAAATGAGATTTGTGCGGCGCATATGTATCCGGCGCTTCCTTGTACCAATATTTGTGTGTTTAAATAAATAAAATAAATTTATTAATTATATATGAAAATGAATGATGATTGATACAAGAATTTATTGAATGGATTTCCATGTAAACTGTGTAAAATTATAAAGATAACAAATTCAAAATTGGGACTTTAGTTTAAAGATTGAACAATCTATTTGTAATTATAAAGTCATTAGTTCTAAAAATAATTTAGATGATTTGTGTACAACAGTCTAGCACTCTTTAATCAATATGGGTGGTCTAAAGTCAAATGAATATGTCGAAGGAACTGAAATTAGTCATTAGGCTTTAACGATTTCTCAATATATTTCACTGAAATCGTTAATCACAGTTTCGACTATTTGATTCCAAGTATATGTGCGAGGAAATCAATTAACGTCTAAGCAATTATTTGACAGTCATAAAAGTAAATGTAACTTAAATAGAAGGTATGTAAAATTACGCTGCAAAAATAACTTGGTATTGAAAAGGTGATGTACGTGAGTCAAAAGTACAGGGTTGTTTATTCCACAAAAACAAAAACACAGTAGTCTCTTTGTAAAACAATATGTTACAAATGTTACTTTAACTCTATTGCAGTGATTGACTTTATATTACAATAAAGACTGCACGAAGTTACAATGCTTTTAACAATCGTTTCATGTAGTTCTAGCAAGCGAAGCAGATCGACAATAGAGCAGTAAAATTAAAAGTAGAAAATTTCAGGTACAGAATTGAAGCGATATTTCATATTCATTAATGCTATTTTCTATATACAGGCATTAGAAAAATCAATCCAGGAGAGTAGTGAACATTTCTTTAACCTGAAGGATTTTTTGGTGAGAACGGTAAATTTCAAAAAGTACAGACTGAATAACACAACGCTTGAAAATACTTTTTGACTAGTTTTAATTAGTTGTCCATAATGATTTGGTACGATGAGATCACCCGTAATAATCCAGTTCCTTATGAAGTCTATTCCTCAGTAAACAGAGTTAGAACTTGTGATATAAGTAACATGATCACTGAATGACATTTATGGTAAAAATATAAGTGATGGCTAAATAGTTTTACTACTCGATTTTTAATCAGTAGGTGGGATGGTTTAAATAATTTTACATAGACTTTATTTTTTTGGAGAAATAGACGGCTGCCTTGTAGTATCTTGTTCTAGATTTTATTCTGAATGTTCACTATTGTAGTGGTATGATGATATTATCGAAATATACAACCCGGATAACCCTGTACATAATTTTCGACTTAATTCGCGTTAGTAAATAACGGAATAAAATAAGTCAAACATGAGAATGAATTTTGGACACGTATATTTCGTACACTCGTTGATCAAGACAGAAAATCAGAGAAACGAAGTGAAGAAAGCAAAGAGGGGGAGAGAAGCGAAGCGAAGGCAAGTGAACCAACTTCATGTGGACTTGACATAGGATGAGATATAACAACCCCATAGTCAAGTATATAAAAGTACGCTTTGGAAATAAGCTATATTACTACATTTAATATACTGACTGTAGTCAAAGTTAGCATCAAGTTTCAAAAAAGAAAGAAAACTCAAAGGCATACCTGAGATATGAGTCTAAAGTCATGGCTAACAAGTAGTAGACCACCTTCGAAATTATCAATAGCTTCAGCTAGTGAGTCTATTGTTTCAATATCTAAATGATTTGTAGGCTCGTCAAGTAGCAAAAGGTGAGGAGCTTTTTGAGCAAGCCATGCAAATATAATCCGACATCTTTGTCCATCAGATAATGTACGAATAGGGCATACCTGAAATTATATGAAAGTCTTATAAATTACTTACGAGAGAAAATAGTCAATTAGTCACTCATGTTATAAACCAATATAAACAGTGGCACAAATGTATGTTACACTAAAGTGTCATGCCATATAAGAAATAAAATTACTGATAAACCTGTATACGATAGCTGTTTGACGATACAATCGTAGGAATCAGTCACATTATTGCTTAATGAAAAAGCGAGTAAGCCTTATTTATTGTACCTGATTACATTTCATTAACCTTGTTCAAGTTGGACTGATGTTTGGAATGCTATAATAATTCTTTAAGACAGAAATTTTTCACAGTTGAAATCATGAGTCAATTGAAGCTAGACCACCATCGAAAACCTGGAAGCACTGGACGGCCGTTTCGTCCTATTATGGGACTCCTCAGCAGTGCGCATCCACGAACCCGCTCTCGCGAGCGAGCGAGCGAGATTCGAACCCAGGACCTACCAGTCTCGAGCCGAAGCCCTTAACCGATAGATCACTGAGCTGGCATCCAACGGTGTTAATGTCTAACTTCAACCAATCCACGATATTGAGCGACCGTTCACCAATTGTCTTCAGTGAGATGATATCTCTACAACAGACCTGGTAGAACTCCACTGGCCACTGCTTCCCACTAGAACTCAAGGAAATATCTCTTGAAGTCAGTCACTAGTGAGCATATGATTATAGATCAGAGGGGGTTTAACAGTGTATGCGTGTGTACATACACGTACAGTAGAACATTCATCTTTAGTAGAGTCCACTTATAATAACAAAAACTCTATATTATGATAGTATGGGTACTCGGGAAGTATCCCAGCGCATATCTGTCTGGTGCCTCCTTTGCCTATGTTTATGTGTTTAGTAATATTTTGTTTAAAACCCAGAATATAATACATAAACACAATTAGTTTGACGTTATGGGAACTTAAAAAAGTACTAATTTGTTTTCACACCTAGATAACCTACCTAAGCATGTTCATATGAATTTCTTCTATTTCTAAACTGAAGGGAACACTAGTTTGACCTCTATTGTGAAATCTTATACAATATAAAATTAAAGCTACCTAATTAGTCTGGCAAAAGTAGTATGCCGAAATAGTGAATATGCACCACACATCACACCTGTAATATATCATTTTATGCTTTAAAATCAAAGATGAGCGTTAAACTCTTAGTTCGATAAGTTGGCAAACCAACTAATAATAGACTATTAGTTTTTAATAGTTGATGTTATTTATTTGCATAACAATCATGATTCGGACAACAGTTATTCCGTTGGAGAGAAACAAATTGATATATTCATTTCAAAAAGACGTCTAAAACTTCAAAGCATAGATCCACCCAATCAAGTTACTAAGTAAGAACATTGAAGAAAGTCTAATATATCCAAATAAACAACTAACTTGTTGAGGCCCTGACAAACCGTAACGTCCAAGTAATTTTCTCATATCATCACGTTCCTTAATTTCCGGATAACACTGCATCATCCAATCGACTGGACTCATATTAATATCCAACATTTCATGTAGATGCTACGGAAAGAAATGAAATATTAACAATTTTAAAGTATGCTAATTATGCTTTCTAAAGCATATTTTCACTTTCAACTAAAGATAAGGTAAAAATGAATAGTCTCCCACCTGATGATAACGACCCATACGAACATGTGAATGTCGACGAACAAGACCATCAGTCGGATCCAACTGTAATGAATTAAGCACAAGATAAATTGACTCAAAAAATATGTAATTTGTATTAAAACACTATGGCGATTTATTTACAGTTAAAGAACTTTATAATGTAAATAAGTATCTAAAAAATTAACTACAAAGCCTACCTCAGCAGCGACTAATTTTAACAAAGTTGATTTCCCTGCTCCGTTCGGACCGACTAAAGCAACGCGACGATCTAAATCGATGGCCAAATCAATGTTACGATAAATCCAAGGCTACAAAACACAATTTTTAAGGTTAAGAGCAAAAAACAGAACGGATCTAAGCTTAAAAATAGTAGAAAATTCAACTTGATACACATAGCTGAGAAACTAATTTGATCTAATCCATCCATTTAACTTGGATGTGTATATATTATGATAAACGCTTACACCTTTTCCAGCTGTTACAGATGAATAGACATAAATATACTGTTGACATTAATCCAAATGCTTACAAAACACTTCATTTCTGTCAAAATAATCAGACTATAACCATTTTATTTGAACGGGAAGAGTTAGTGGTAATTGGAAAAAAAAAACATTTTAAACTGGAGAAAATCATTAATGAAAATAAATCACTTTACACAGTGATTGATATAACCATAATTTTTTTTGATTATTTTAAAATATCCAACTAAAAAATATTGAGTCCTTCGACTGATCAGACAATAATCCTGCAGTCCTCACTATGTGTTTTTAAGTGATAAACAACCATTAATATTTGACGCTTTCATTATTAGCTTGTCAGGTTGAAGACAGTCAGTCAGCTATAACGTAGGACCAGGCACATATATGCATCGGTCCCAGTTGCCACATGTCGTTAGCACAAAAAGATGATCACTAAATTCATAGAAGCAGTTACTTCAATGGTAGTAATATATAAAAAGAAGGATTGCACATAAAAATATAATACAGGTTGAAGTAAACATCAGTTTGAAGATAGAACACATTCATGTTTAAACTGTTGCTCTAATTAATACCATCATCTATCGATGATATTGGAGGTGAGAAAGTATTAAAAAGTGAAAAGTTTATTATTTCCTAACTGACTAGAAAAAGGTATATTAGTCTCGCGTATACCTATAAAAATAGAAGCACTTGTTGCACTATAAACCATTTTATTTAAGGTCAAATATTATATTTATATGATATGTTGTTCACATCACTAATTAGATTTCGCTTGTAAATGAGAGTCTTAAGGTCTCATTTTATCTTTTATGTCCATTAGTGAGTACCACTACACTAGATGCTAGAAATCCGCTATGGTTATAATTAAAACAGACCCAAAGAATCATTTATTGAATAACCGGACTTTCCTATATTCCAGTGTAAATTGTAATAGCATTTTTGCCCACCCATTCATAATTTTGTGGATGTGTTTTCATTGTAAATTAGTATGATAGGCTGAAAAGGGGTTTGACTAAATTGAATAAATGGTAGTTCACTTTTGTTATAAAGACTTATAAACAAACACTACCCAGGGATATATGATGAAGGTACTTTAAACAATAATCATCAGTCATATGGTTGAATAAGTTACATGTTACCGTTTAATAGAAAATACATTTTGTAAGAAATGCTAAGATCATCTAAAAGTCGTTAGAATAATATTTAGTCTTACCTTATCTGGTCCATATCGAAAGCTAACTTGGTGAACTTGAATAACAGGTGGTGGTATTTTCCCAGGGTCAGGAAAGTAGAATGTTAGAGTCTTATCTCCCTCGACACGTTCAGCTAAACCGCCAGCTACCATTTTCTGTAAAACTTTCTCTTTGCTTTGTGCCTGACGTGCCATTTTTTTGTTTCCATGTCCAAATCTAGCTATATAGTCCTAGAAATTAAAAGAGGTTAGAGCAAAATACTGTTAGGCTTTTTAACTACGCAGTTCGCTAAGCCTAAAACTGAAGTCCCTAACCGACGAATAAAGAAAGCAATGAAAGTTTGGGTGAATTCGAAAACTCTTGACTTGATATTTTAACCTACCTTCATCGAAGCAATCTGATCTTGTTCCCATTTGAACCGCTTCATTTGATTTTCCTCCAACTCGCACCTAGTGCGCACATACTGATCGTAGTTACCCTGAATAAAAGGTTTAATAACAAAAATACTTAATAAATATTTTAGCTACTTATATACGTTGAAGTAGTAGGTATGAAGTGCTAATCAGTTATAAACAACGTGGAGCCTGACACGTAGATCGTTTCAGGCTGTCATACTACATTAGCAAAACGAGACAAAATTATTTCTAGGAAAATATAAGAGTAGTTGTCGTCGTAACAGTATCAGAAGTAGTAAAAAATGCTAAAGTATAGGGTATATCTATCGGATATCCTCATATATATAATTCTCAATACATTATACGGTTCGATGGAAGCCATATCATAATCTTTAAGCCGTAGTTAGTACAGGTTGACCAAGCGAATCGCTAAGGCTTATAATTAACATAAAACCTTCAGCAGAAAACACTGCTCTATTGTCTACATCACCAACACGAAAAAGTGAAACATTTTTTTATTTGACAGAATTCATGGAAAGGTAAGACAATTTCAGTAAACGATTGTACGATTTTGCAATTTATTGTGCCAATGTTCATGTGTTCAAACAAATAATACAATTTATTAATTATGATTACGTTACATTGTAAATTATAAATTAAGCCAGAAATTTTAAAGAATTATTTGACCGATTTGCGTACAGACCAACGGTTTAGAAACGCTTTGCAACCCGATGAATGACTACTTATACACATAACACAGGAATATATATACGTGGACTCAAAATAAAACTACCTAGATGGAATTTTAGATTTCGTAAATAAAATGTCAAATAAGAGTATATAAGTGTTTGTTTAGATAAAACGGTGATATATATTCCTACTTGTGATCGATACTACCATAAATGAATATATATAACAACATACCAGGAGTTAAAATACTATGAATAAAACGAAGTTCAAAGAAATCCATAATTATATTATATAATTGGAGAAAAAAGTGAACTTACACCGAAATAGGTCAATCTCTGCTTGTTCATCAGAATAATGTGGTTACAAACACCATTCAAAAAATCTTGTGAATGTGATATTACAACTAAACACCGTGGATAATTGACTAGCTGACGTTCTAACCAAACGCAAGCATTCAAATCCAGATGATTTGTTGGTTCATCCAGTAGCAGTAATGCGGGACGAACAAATAAAGCTCGAGCTAAAGCGATTCTCATTCGCCAACCACCACTAAAATGACGAACCTATAGAACAAATGTTTGTATAAGATCAACTTTTGAATTATAAAATAATTGCGTTTTACAGAATTCACGAACGATTCAATTCATTTTAAGTCTTACTTCTTTCTTTTGCATTTCAGAGGTAAATCCTAAACCATGAAGAAGTTCGGCTGCTTTTGCTTCAGCTTTGTCCGCATCTAAATGGTCTAAACGTTGATAAACCTCTAGTAAACGTTCATGTGTTTCTAAAATTGTGAGATTTGAAAAAATAATGTAAGCAAGCGTTGATTTTCGAATATAACGAGAACAATTACCAGCCGTAAATAGTCATTACTGTACAAACCATAAAAAACATTACGTAAAGAAAAATCTACCATAGCACGTTTACAAAATACTTGTGATTTATTATGCCATATATTGTTTGAGCAATAGAGATATGTAAGCTATGCAAAGTCGATACCACAATGAATTTGCATACTACTCATGTTATTCTTTTTATTTTATTTATACACATACATATTGATACAAGGAAGCACCAGATACATATGCGCCGCACAAATAAAATGAGATTTGTGTGAGGGTTGTGATACTGCTGAGGTGCCCAAACTGAAGCAGGTGGTTTTCTTAAGAGGCCACACTCGGAGCATTCGACCTAAAGGTCTAATCCACAAGGCAGTGGAGCATCGTGAGGCGATGCATTCCCATGGTAGCCGGTGACCAATAATTGGTTCATACGCCATTCGTTCCTTCAGGATACTAGAGCCCATGTGCACAACTGGTTTGGAATCAGGGTTTGCCAACTCCCCTAGGTGGACTACCCGTGTCCACCAACCTGGTTAAAGGGCCGGACATTCGCTTTTCGTCCTCTCAATTTCATAAAAAACACCCCGCCACGGAAAGGCAGTGAGTAGGACTTCCGTGGCATTGGCTATATACGCGTGGCCATATGAGAGCATTTCGAGGGAGAGCGGACTCTCCCCACCCTCGGACTTACATCAACTTGCCATTCAGGACGACTGGGGATCGAAGGAAACCGAAGTGTGGCTGAAGGCCAGTGTTCTGCCCATCGATCCAATCTCCTGGTTTGAGAATGAATGGTATGCCCATCTTTATCCGAGAGAGTTTCGCTGATAGTTGGGTTCCCAATACCGGTTTCTTTAACAAGTCTGAACAGTTGTCTGTTGTTGTCTATTGCCGCTGCCTTTTCCATCTCTCTTGCTTTCGCTACCCACCACTGTTCACGATCATTGCGTAGGCTTCTTGTTAGCCTGCGCTTAAGCTGACTACACTCTTCGTTATGTTCAGAGCCAGGAGGGATGAGTTTTCGAGCATCTATCAGTGCGGTAGATGCCGAAATCTAGTGTTTCTCCCTACCTTATGGCATACCGTATTAGCAGATATCATTGTTGTTTCCACAGCTTTCCGGATGTCATTCCACGCTTCCTCGGGGTGGGCACAACTCACATGTCTGCCTAACTGTTTTTCCAGTTGTTCCTGAAATATATTCTTAGCTTGCCTATCATTGAGTAGAACCCTTAGAGGATTCCCTGCAGTGTCTTTCCTGCGTCCAGTAAGATGCAGACAGATACGTGCTCGCACTAGAACATGATCTGAATCTAAACATGTGCTCCAGAATGAGCAAAAGTCTTTTATTGAGCCCCCCCCCATCGGTGGCTGATAGCGATATGATCTAATTGGGTCCAACGTTGGGACGAATTCGGGGGTCGCTATGTCAAAAGATGTTTTTCCTCGTGCCTAAAGTTAGTATTTGCAAGAAATAGGCGGTTATCTGAGCATAGCTGCAACAGACGGTCGCCATTATCTGTTCTTCGAGCCATGGCACCATAAGATCTACCCAGGTGTCTTTCCCTTTCGCTTAGTTTATCTACTTGGGCATTAAAGTCACCAGTCACTATTACTACATCAGAGCGACTAGCTTCTCCGAAAAGGTCGGAAAGCTTTCTGTAAAACTCATCTTTTACATCATCTAAGCTGCAGTCAGTGGGAGAGTAGGCAGGGACGACAAAGAGGCAACGATGAGTTTCCCTATCTTTCTGACTCCTTACTGTTCCATTTAGTCGGACAGCACATAGACGACTGTATACTGCGATCCAGTCTAAAAGAGCTAGTTCTGCCCTAGGACTCAATACTATACCTACGCCAGCGAGACCACGGAAAGCAGCATTAGGGCTTCCAGATACAGGAAGTGTGAATCAAGTTGGTTCTTTATCATGACATGGTAAGGTGAAATGAATGACGCTACACGGATCTTATATGCGCGTTTCGGAGACGCAGCACACATCGATGGTGGGAGATTCTAAAGTCTTAGCTAAGGAAGCCTGTTGTCCTATTTGGCACAATGTTCGGACATTAAAAGTTCCTACATATAGTTTAGAGTGTGGTTTCAGGAGACCAGGAATAACGTTCCGTGTACTCGAATCATTTGCCCTAGCTGTGCGAGGTGATAAAAGAGAGTGAGAACGGTTAATCGTGGAGATAAGAGTTATTAGCAAGTGTAGGAAGGATTTGAATGTGACCAACTTGGTCTCGTGTGCTGTTACGGGTATGAGGGCTAATATCACTTCCCGGCTGCCCACACCGTGGAAGGGTATTTGTTGAGGAACCTGAAAAAGAAGTTGGATTAGTGTTGGTCTCAACGACCTGGGAGCATGACCGCAGAGTTCAAGGGACAACTGCTTGAGGCCGGTCACGCACGGCCTTTTTGTGGGGGATTTTTGACGTGTTACTTCCGTTCTTCAAAGGACCTTACCGCCGGAGACGGAAATCCGTGGGATAAGGCGAGGTGTGCATTTTTAGGGTTGACCTTTTCTAACCCCACCCCTCCTTGTGGGAAGGCAGCATCGCTGTTATGCTGGTTGTCTGAGGGAAACACCTTACTGCTGCCACACCCTTCTGCAGTCAGTGGTACGACTTCGCCCTCAGACCTTGAGTTGCTGCTTTTAGTCTTACCGTTCCCCAATCGACCTGCCTGGCATGGTGTAACCTATAGGAATATGTGTTCCAGCCAATATAGCTCGGTTGGGTCATCACAATAGGCAAGCCCGATCACCATGTCAAGGCAGCAGCTACGGTCTGTATGTTATCGGTTTTACTAGTTTTTTTGTGCAATTACTGTGGTAATTTCCAGCAATATGAACAGTTATTCTTTGAACTTCCCACTTAACGTTCATTGACTGACGTATGAATATCTACTCAAAAAGTATTATTTATTTTTGTGGCGTTACTATGCTCTCTAAGCCTATTTACAGAAAAACTAAACCGGAAATAGACGAATACCTTAAAAGCAAGAACACTGAATTAAGATGAATTAAACAAAGATCTATTAGTCTTACCGGGATCATCATCTAATGCCAATTGTGCAGCTTCTTTTTCTAAACGTACACGTTCTTCGTCAACTTCCATTACGCACTCCAATGCAGTTTTGTTTGTTGGTGTCATTTCACGTTGCAACAGAAAAATATCAACGTGAGGTGGTACAGGAAGTTCTCCATTGGCTATTACAGCGAGAAGAGTAGATTTGCCACAACCATTTGGGCCAATCAATCCATATCTGAAATATAATAAGTACGGGATTTACATTTATACATGTAAATAACGTTTTGTTAGTTTCATAGATCCCAACCACATAGTTTTATACGACTTAAAGATCGCTTATTTGACTTTCATAAATTCAATGAATAGAGTTCCGAAAAATGAACATCATTTAAAATGACTCCAAGACCAAACATAACAATCGTTTCTAGCAATATATGACAGTAACTTGAAGGAATCAGTGTACAGTACATCTAAACCATAAATTAGTAAGATACGTGTGGGATCTGTTTTACAGATAATATCTACAATACAACTTTCGTTCAATGATAGAAAACTGCTTGTTTTGTTAATTTTTTAAAATTAGCAAAACGTCAATTAGCATACTTGTATTATATGTTCGGTGTATGTACGAGTCGAAATAGTTTATTTTTGAAGTCTCTTTATCATACAACATTATCTGTAATCGATGGTTGGAAATGGTGCGTGACATGGTGCAAATTTAGTCGCAGCGACGTAGTAGAATTCATTGTTGTCCCATAAAAATCTAGTGTTTGATTTGATTGGGTCCAAACATACTGAAAATACTGACAATATGGGAGCGGATCGACGTGACCAGATGTAGACTGGAATCATTGTAGACAGCGACGCGTCCAAGCAAGAAGAGAGCATTAAATCGATAAACACCATATATACTGTATTTTACATGGCGTAGCAACAAGTGAGAAGTGAGCCATGTGAAACTAAAACCTCACAAAAGCCAATAATACCGGTAAGGTCAGTCAGTCAGTCAGCTACAACGTAGGACCAGGCACATATATGCATCGGTCCAAGTTGCCATACCTCTTTAGCACAACAAGATGAACACCGGATTCATAGAAGCAATTAATTTAGTGGTGGTAGTATATAAAGAAAGATTGTATAGAAAGATATAGTACAGGAAGGAAGAGAGATATGAAGCAATTTTAATCTCAAGGTTTAAGGGAAGATAAAGAGTGTATACACCTACGCCATTGTGATCGATTCTGAGCCATGTCACCTAGAGTCTCCAACCATTTATTACGATAGTCACGCGGACCCCAACCAGGTAGTCTGCATCTGCCAACATGACTCAGGCTAGAAGTTAGTGACTTCAAACACTGATGCCATGTTTTGGTTTGGCCGCCCCTAACTCTCTTCCAACCGTCCCCAATACTAGTCATCATAGCGCGTCGTGGTAATCGGTGTTCAGGCATACGTAACACATGGCCCAACCATCTCAGTCGATGGAGATTCATCACCTCATCAACTGATTTACCATCGTTCCCTAATACCCTGCGTCTAACCTCACTATTACTTACTCGGTGATCCCAGCAGATGCGAGCAATATTTCTAAGGCATCTGTGGTCAAATACTAGTAACCTACGAGTATCTTCTACTCTTAATGGCCATGTTTCGCAGCCGTAAAGTAGAACAGAGCGAACTGATGCGCAGTATACTCGTCCCTTAATTGATAGACGGATATCTCGTCTTCGCCATAGGTGACGTAAGTTGGCAAAAGCCAAACGAGCTTTTTGAATCCGTGCTGAGATTTCGTCAGACACCAACCCATTAGGGCTGATCAGACTTCCAAGATAAGTGAAGTTGTCAACGCGTTCGACTACTTCACTCCCTATCCTTAGTTCGAGTGTTGACGCAGGCCAGTCCTGGAGTAACAATTTACATTTGGATGGGGAGAAACGCATCCCAAACATCCTGGCATTATTACTCAGTTCCAACAGAAGACTCTGCATTTTGTCAGCGTCTTCACCAAACAGGACTATGTCATCTGCGTATTCTAAGTCGCTTAGTGGTCCCCCTGGTAGGAGATCAATTCCTGTAAACTCAGTCGACGAGAGTGTCATTTGCAGCAACAGGTCTATAATGAAGTTAAACAAAAAGGGGGATAGTGGACAGCCTTGACGGACACCACTTGAGGTTGTAAAATCATATGACAGTTCGCCATAAGCTCTCACTCGACTGATAGTGTTCGAGTAAAGAGCCTTCACAAGGTTTATGTACTTCTCAGGTACACCTTTCAATGACAGACACTGCCACAGAACCTCTCGGTCTACAGAGTCAAATGCTGCTTTCAAGTCAAGAAAAACTATCATTGTCGGACGCCGATAAGCATGTCTGTGCTCTAAAACTTGACGAATGGTGAATATGTGGTCGATACAGCCACGACCAGGTCTGAAGCCAGCCTGATTTTCTCGTGTTTGCAGTTCACGAGTCTTAGTTAGGCGCCTGATAATTATTGAGGCTAGTATTTTAGATACTATGTTAGTCAGACTAATCCCTCTATGGTTATCGCAGGATGATTTTGACCCCTTTTTATATATTGGGACAATCAGTGATTGTGACCAGTCGGATGGGATTACATCCGTCTCCCAGATTTTAGCCAGAATATTAGTCAACCTAATCGCTAAAATTGGACCACCATATTTAAAGACCTCTGGAGCCAATCCATCAGGACCAGCTGCTCTTCCTCGTTTCAGATTACCTATAGCCTTTTGAACTTCAAGTAGGGTCGGGGGGCCTACTTCAATGTTCCATTCAGGTTTTCTAGGAATAGTGGGTAGTTGTGCAGTAGCTGAAGGCCAGCTAAACTGCTCCTTAAAGTGTTCCGCCCATCGTTCTAAACGTTTGGGTAGAGAGCAGATAAGGGTTCCATCTTTTTCCGAGATCGTCTCACTTACACTTGACTTCTTAATTCCAGTTTCTTTTATTAGTCTGAATAGTTGCCTGGTGTTGCCTACAGCCGCTGCCTTTTCCATCTCTTTTGCTTTCGTTGCCCACCACTGCTCACGATCGTTCCTTAGACTTTTAGTTAACCTAGATCTAATTTGTTTACGCTCTTCGTCATGTTCAGAGCCTGATGGGATGAGTTTACGCGAATCCATCAGTGAAATAGACCTAGAAGAAATCCACTGGTTTTTTGGAGCCCTATGGTTTAAATGACTAATAGATGTTACTGCTGTCTCCACAGCTGTTCGTATGCCTTTCCAAGCAGCATCTGGGTCAGTCTCGTTTACAGAACTGCCTAGATGTGAACTCAGTTGTCTCTGGAATTCACATTTGGCTTTCTCGTCCTCCAGTTCAATCCTAACGGGTCTTCTTAGTTTACTTTTCCTGCGTCCATTGAGGCGCAGACAAATGCGTGCTCGTACTAAAGCGTGATCAGAGTCTAAACAAGTATTCCAATACGAGCGACAATCTTCTATTGAGCCTCTCCAACGATGACTGATGACAATATGGTCTATTTGAGTCCATCGTTGGTTTGGTGCAGGTGGTCGCCATGTTAGACGATGTCTCTCCTTATGTTTAAAATTAGTGCTTGCCAAAAATAAACGATTGTCTGAGCATAGTTGCAACAGACGATCACCATTATCGGTTCGTTGAGCCGGAATACTAAAACACCCACCTAGATGTCTTTCTGTTTGATTTAAGCTGCCTACCTGGGCATTAAAGTCACCCGCTACGACTACTATGTCTGAGCGCTTAGCTTTCTGAAGAAGCTCAGAGAGCTTTCTGTAAAAGTCATCTTTCACCTCATCATGGCTGCAGTCAGTGGGAGCGTAGGCAGAAACGACGAAAAGACAACGACGTGTGTCCCTATCCTTCCGAGTTCTTACGGAGCTATTTAGCCGGACAGCACACAGGCGACTGTTAACGGGGATCCATTCTAATAGTGCCTGTTCTGCCCTTGTACTTAATGCTATACCTACACCTGCAAGTCCACGAGAACTAGCCAACGGGTCGCCAGATACACGGAGGGTGTATTTCGTTGGCTGTCCATTTTGGCGAGGTGAGGTCAAGTGAATGACCACACTAGGATCCTGTAGGCGTGTTTCGGAGACACAGCATACATCAATGGTACGCGACTCTAAGGTTTTAGCTAAGGAGGCCTGTTGACCGATTTGACTTAAAGTACGTACGTTGAAGGCTCCAATGTGTAGTTTGGAGCGAGGTTTTAGTAGACCTGGGACAGCGTTTCGCGCACTAGAATCGTTGGCCATGGTGACGCTTGAGGAGGAAACCGAGAGAGGAAGTTTAGTGTTGAAAGTCAAGGTAGAAGGAATAGTGGGAAGTGAAAAAGGAGATTGATTATGAATACAGTGGTCTTGAGTGTTGTTAGAGGTATGAGGGCAGTTATCACTTCCCGGTTGCCCACACCGTGGAAGGATTCTTCTAGAGGTACCTGAAAAGGAAATTGGATTAGAAGTGGTCTTAATGACCGGAGAGCGTGACCGCAGTGCCCAAGGGACAACTGCTTGAGGTCGGTCATACACGACCTTTTTGTGGGTAGTTTTTGTGTTAGCTCCGTTCTTCAAAAAAACCTTACCGCCGGAGACGGATATCCGTGGGATAAGGCGAGGTGTGCATTTTTAGGGTCGACCTTTTCTAACCCCACCCCTCCTTGTGGGAAGGCAGCATCGCTGTCATGCTGGTTGTCTGAAGGAAACACCTTACTGCTTTCACACCTCTGTACAGTCAGCAGTACGACTTCGCCTTCGGACCTTGGGTTTGCTGCTTTTAGTCTCACCGCTCTTCAATCGACCTGTCTGGCATGGTAGGACCTCGAGGAACGATTGTTCCAGCCAGCATAGCTCGATTGGATCATCACGATAGGCAAGCCCGACCACCACGTCAAGGTAGCAGCAACGGTCGGGATACCGGTAAGGAAGGGTATAATAATATTCAATTTCATTTGTTTGTTTTTTTTGCTATAATTTTAGATTTCTATTACAGTCAAAATTAATTCCAATCCTTGTTCATTTCTCCTGTTGATGAAACATGAAAACTCGGAGTGACATATTCATTCTAGCTCCTACTTGGATGATGACCTAGTAATGTGACACCTATTTCAACGGTAAATCAAGTTAACATTCATATACATATCTTCCTGACTAATCTTCTATTAGAGATGTGAACCGAAAAAGAGTATATCTACAAAGAAAACTAGTTTAGACAGCCTTTCTAAAAAATTTTGACTGACATATCTCAAACTATCTTTTATTGCTCCAGAGCGATTCATTTGATCATACATTAAAATCTAGCGAACATATGCACAAGATTACTACTATGAGTGGAGAAAAAAGTCACAGATTTTTCAACTTCATTAAGATACCACCGAAACGACCAGACCGAATGGGCTCAGAACTTGGATTTTTTAAAATGCATGGTTTGTTAGATGGAATATTCAATAGTATCTCCGTTACTGTATAAAATCAAATAGGTCCATAAAGAACTTTAAAATCAAACATGTTTAGGAAACATTATGTAAGCAGATGAATCATAATACAAGGCAATAGTAAACCAAATAACAGACCTTTGACCATTGTTTAATTCCAAACGAGTATCAGCTAATAAAGCTTTCCCATGAAAAGTGATACTCAAGTTTGAAAACTGCACATCTCTAGCTTCAGGATGAGAAGCTAGGACTCCAGTAACAGACCGATAAGCAGCAACACGTTCACTAACAAGATCCAAGCATTCCAAAGTTTCAACTAACGACTGGTGTACTTCCTTATTTTCGTCATCACTACCTAAATAAAAATTCCAAAAATGAATCCATATACACGAGGACTCATTAGTCAATAGTAATAGTAGTAGTGGTATCAGTGATAGTCAAATATAAGACAGAGCAAGTTATCTGAGGATGAATTCACGGAAGTAGGAAACATTTAGGAAAATCAAGATCTATAAATAAATAAATGCATCTGTGCATCAGCGACCGACAGTTAGTCAATTTGTGTGTTTTGATTTTATCCTTGATTTGGAATTTAGTAACCCATATTAATTAAACTAAAATATAGGTGCATATATTAATCATTTAGTGTGTATTCAGTCTGTCAGTGGTCTAATTTTTTGGAATATACGATGACGAAATTCTCAGGTCATTTCCGTGGCAAATTATGGTCAAATAAAACTCTTTATTCACAATCCCAACAGCTGAAGCTAAAGTGAAATCAAAGATGAGTTTCTCCAAAGGTCTTCTGGCCTCCAAACTGTCAAGTTAGATGCAGTAAGTGTAACGACCGTAAGTAAAATAGTGTGGCACAATTGTGAGTTAATAAGTCATACTACATTCGCGTAGTGCGATGAAGCCAGCAAGACAGATAACGAAGTAGTTGAAGGAACCGTAATAGTGATGACAATGAGACTAAACATTGAAGAATATTAGTTAAATGAAGGAACGATTTGATGAGTACGTTAACTAGTCACTAGAAGCTGGTCTTTGATGTTTTACGTAACGTCGCACTATATGATGTCTCATATTATTCTGCAAAGTGATCTGATGAGAAAAAAGTTATTAATTAAGTACTTTATTGAGTCAGAGGTTGAAAACATTAGATTTTAATCTTCTGGGACTGTCAATTCGACAAAATGAATGAACAGGTAACTGAAGACAAAAATGATCATCAAGCGATTAAAGTATAAAAGTTAACGTCCAATCATGCTAGTACGAAACGAAAGTAAATGGATCCTAGTTTACCGCGTCATCAATAATTGTCTTGGGAAATGACTCGATAAACTAGGACTCAAACACTACTAAACGAACTTACCCACGAAGTCATCATCACGTGTCTGATTGAGATTCGAAGACTGAGATACAAACCCATTTTGAGGGGTAGGATTTGTATTCTTATCAGTCTTCACATCACTATCGTTGTCTAAAACCGTTGGTACTGACCGCGTTTGCTTTTGATTTCGCTTTTTGACCGCGTCTTTCTTTGCTTGAGCCTTTTTCTTTTTATCCTCGGATGGCATATTTTCTCTTTACAAACGACTTGTTCCAAAAGTAACGGCAAGTGACTCTTCACAGGAACGCCGATTGGGAATATATATTAGATACAAGGTAACCCACCAAAAGAGTGAATACCTGATGATGAGAAAGTAATATAAGAAAGTGGTTTGTGATGTAGTTAGGTGAATAAATTAAATCTGTTAAGTTACGGATTACGACGGAAAACACAAGTGGTTATATCGGTGAAAAACAGGATTTGTGCTATGAAAACGTTCATGCGGCCAACGGCCGGTAAGGAAATCGCTATTTTAAAGATACAGGCAAAACGCTAGTGATTACGTCAATGCTATAAATACCTAGTATAACAAATAAATAAGTAGCAAATATAGCCGTTATCTGATCAATTTATAAAAGAGTGAATCCCCATGTGGATAACAAATATATACGTGTCCTAATACTAATCACCCGGTTTTGGGGTTTTCCCCAAAAGCTTGAGGACATTTGGGGGGTCAATTCCTCAAAACTTTCAAAAGCGGCTCCCTTGAAATAGGAAGATTGGGTAGTTTCAACTTATCGAGTATCGTCATTTTTACACAAATAAGAGTACTCACATAAACCAGCTTATAAGCAGTAGATTCAGGCTTTCCCTGGTACAATAGTTTAAGGTTAAACTGAGAAACAAAAGCGACGCTACCGTCACGAGTGGGTGACCTAGCGTTTTAGCACGTTGTATTAACGTTGACTTGGAAGCAGGAGCAATCTGAAATAACAACACAACAGTCAGGATCGGTAGGTGCCTCTGAAGTAAGAACGCGGCGTACTCGCAAAACATATATTTTTAAAAACTGAAAGACGTAGTACGAGTACAAAAAAGGGAAACATATTACAAGATAGCTTCATTCATTGTTCTGCAGGTTCAGTTTACGTAGGGATCGTTCGTTTTTATCTAGATTGCTGTCCTGCAATAAGAAAAACAAACATTAGCAACGTCGCATGTAACGATTCTTAATGCCGCTACAGCGTACATGTTCGGTTGTCGCGCCGAAACTTCAGTCGACAGTAATGAAGACAGATGGCCTATCGACCTATATTAATCCTGGCAGTTTGTAACACTGTGGAGTTACAATCTCAATCTCAAAACATCAACAGAATGTGCTGATATTACGTGTTCTGGCAGAGGACTCCAGAAATTCATTGGTCGATGAGAGAAGCGAAACTCTAAACGTAGACAATTTGATCTCGGCTTTTGGACTTTCTCGGAATGTTCTGTCAAGTGACCAGTCCTAGATGGAAGAAAGAGATAGTTCATAATAATACTTAGATCAATATTGGATCACTCCGTAAGATAAAGTAAATAAGTTAAGGTGTCTCACTCTGTCTTCATAAGAAAGGTCGGGGAGACCATTCGCCACTTTAGTCCCTCGTCATTATACTTGTTCCAGTATATCCGCCTCATACTCGAAACAAGGAATGGTTGTTTGAATTTCGTATTCCAAATGCAGTGGTACGAAAGTCGGGCATAATAATCTAAACATTTCTTCATCCAAATACTGAAAAGACCTACGAATACACCATAATAACCCCTAAAGACTTTTGTAGCAGCAGCTTTATAGGTACTATTAGTTTTGAGATCGCTGCTTATTATGACTCCTAAATCTTTATGGTTTATTAAAATCTTGCCAGGAATTAATTCTAGTGACCATCTGTCCATCCATGCCACCAATGAGTTAAGATCATATTGTAGTGCTATTTTATCTGACATGCCGTATATGGGTCTTCAAACATTTATGTCTTCGGTGAAAAGTAGAACGGATGACTTTGTTACAGTTGGTAATTCATTTACATGAAGTAAAAAGAGAAGAGGACCGAGTATTGTGCCTAAGAGAAATTCACTTTTTACAGGTTCCCACACTGAGATGGCTCCATTTACCCTTACCCTCCGTCTCCTATCATTTAGAAAGTCACTTATACAGTCTGTAGTGGATGTCGAGTCGAAGACGGACTATGATCACCACTACAATTCGTTTACGCGCCCAAAAACGGCTTGGTTCCTTTGATAGCTCGTAAATCAGAAGACTTTATTAATCCAGATCAATTGTATTTATTGGCGATCTCGTGGTATCGAAATAATACCGAGACGTGCCAAAGAGTACAGGCGAACAGGCAGTGCGTGAGCAAGTTCGAACCAAACAAGGCGGAGAGCGAAAGCAGAAGTGAAACTGATACAGTTAAACAAATACAGTAAAACAATCTCTGGTACAATTGGTTACAATAATAATAATTGTTATTCCAATCGTGTTCTTATCGAGACTGGCCGGTCACTACAAGTCTATGACGAGAAACACATGTAGATTAAGTTCTGGGACAAATATTTAGGGGTCGTTAACAGAATTTTGTATCGAAAACTAATCGCCTTCATTCCTATCTGCAGCCAGGTTAAAAAAAAGTTGGTTTGATGAAGACGTACAGATGTTTTAAAAGACAGATTTCCCAGTTGTCAAATCCTCTACTTCCTGTTTGTTAGGAGTAGTGAAACCGTCAATGATAGAAGCTGGAATGAATTGTAGCTGCAAATGAATCCACAAAATCAATGCTCTGTAACTCATTGACGTTTAATGCTGACCTCATTAGTGTGTAGTGCCGTGCTTCGATAATAGTTCACTTCGATAACCGTTATTATGCCAATCTTAACGGTGTATAAAATCAGAAGGCATAAGGAAGCGGCAACTACATTTTTATTGATAAATGATGTGGACCAGAAAGTTGTAAGCACATGAGCAAATGTAAGCGAGCGAAGCAAAGATGATGCATAGTGGAGATGGCTGGGAAGCCAACTCGATTTAAGCAAGCGTTAATCAATATTTATAGTCGGACAAAAAGAATGACAGACATATGATGAATAAGATACGAAGTGTACACATATATAGTCATACATACATACATAGTCAAGGTTAATAAGCAAATGATTAACAAGATCAAAATATGACTCATGACAGGCGAATTGGCTTGACCAGTAGCTAGGATAAAGTATATGGGCTTAACATATAAACTGATACTACAAGTGTTTATGGACTCACCTAGCTGAAGGTGCTTGGTCACGCATCCGCACCAAATCACGAGTGGGTAAGCCATTCTTAACATCTACAACCACTTACCAACCTAAGTTAGTGTGATGTTTAAATAAATCAATGACTTCTTTGTATTGATGACTGTTGTAATTTTGAATTCCAAATACAATACATTCGTTCGGGTTCATCTAATACTTCCTGATTATATTGAGTTATTCCTGGGATTACTGGTTTATACTACAATTCAAATACTTCTGATTATCATAGTTAGTCAATTATCTATATTCTGTCAAAAATATATTCGAACCTCTTCACTCTATACTTCTGATTTCACTGAGTTGGCACGTTTCGATTACGAAAGGCGTTAGTGGTTAATGTGTTGTCAAACTTTGAATACTTGTGGTATATTTAATAGTCAGCCCGATGTGATTTGGTACACCAAACAGTAAGCTGTTATTCTATTCTTTTTCAGAACATTATATATCATATTTTTACTTTGCTTTTACATGTTGTGATCTCTTTCATAGTATTGGATATATTTTCTTTCGCTCATTGCTATAATTTATATTCATCTCCACCTCACAGACTACTAGGTTACTTGAGATCAAGACTCTTTCGCCACCCTCATTTCAGCTAATGCCATTTCAGCCCGACAACATCGAAGACTGTTTCTACTAAGCAGAAGCTGACTTCCTAGTAAGTTTCTACCGACAGTTCATACCAAATCAAGCGTCTCTTATGAAGCCATTAACAGGCCAACTTCGTGGAAATGCAAATTCCATCAATTTAGATTACATCGCGGAAGACGTACTCTCCACAATTAAGGAACCCATCCCCAAAGCAACAACGCTTGCATACCAGGACACCAAAGAACTCATTAGTATCGCAGTAGACGTATTCGACTCGGCAATCGGAAGAGCCTTATAACAGTATGTAGACCAAACCTGAGAACCCTTGGCATTCTTTTAGAGACGGTTACTGTTATATACTAGTGAAGATTAAACTACGGGTAACTTATGAGATCTGCTAATGGACTAACATTACATAAATATTCTTATAGTGTAACTATTCAGTAAGTTAATTGCATGCATCTATATTCCACTTATTATAGGCTTCATTTTGGCCTATACATTATTACTATACGACTTACTGTTCTTAAGTTATGTCCAGTTTATTGATTGCCGCCTCCCACGTTCACGGCCACTTTTTGGCTTGATCTTGTTGTTGTGGAGGCCTTAATCTGACTTTAATGAGACTTTATTGATCATTGCAAGAATATACACCCTGTCTATCCTCGTGCGTAATTCATGACTTAATCCGCGTTGATAAATCACGGAATTAAATAAGCCAAATACGAGAATGGATTTCGAATATGTATATTTTTTACATTCATTAATCTGGGCAGGAAATCAGAGGGATGAAGCGAACAAAAGAGAGAAGCAGGAATGACACGCATTGGAGATGGTGGGTAGGCCAACTCGCTTTTATCAAGCGTTAATCAATATTTATAGTCAGATTAAGTAAATTACAGACATGTGATGAATAAGATACAAAGTGTACACACACATACGCTCACATAAAAAATAGTCAGGGTTAATAAGTGAATAATTAACAGGGTCAAAACGTAACTCATGATAGGTAGGGAAATCGGCTTGTCCTTACTTACTTACTTACTTACGCCTGTTACCCCTCGTCGAGGAGCATAGGCCGCTCACCAGCATTCTCCATTCAACTCTGTTCTGAGCCTTCCTTTCCAGTTGCTATTCATCCTTTTCATATCGGCTTCTATTTCCCGGCGTAGTGTGTTCTTTGGCCTTCCTCTTTTCCGCTTCCCCTCCGGATTCCAAGTTAGGGATTGAGTCGTGATGCACATTGGTGATTTCCTTAATGTATGTCCGATCCACTTCCAACGTCTTTTCCTAATTTCCTCTTCAACTGGAAGCTGGTTTGTCCTCTCCCATAGAACGCTGTTGCTGATAGTATCTGGCCAGTGGATGTTGAGTATTTTGCGTAGACAACTGTTTATAAATACTTGTACCTTCCTGATGATGGTCGTAGTAGTTCTCCA